GTTTTGTTTTCTTTTTGTTTGTTGTTTGCTTTACGTTTTTGAGACAGAGCTCCCCATGTAGGCCTGCCCGGAACTCAACGCTCTGTGTGAATCCACTTTGAAAACATAGCTGAAAAAAAAAATTTTTAAAAAAAAGAAAAAGAAAACACAGCTGGTAAAAGGGACGAGAAGCCGTGCGGTGGCCTGTCATCCCAGCCCTCTGGGAGGCTGAGGCAGGAGAATCCCAAGTCTTAGCTCAGCCAGGTCAATGTTGCAAGACTGTCTCAAGATAAAAAGTACAAAGGGCTGGGGACAGAGCTCGGTGGGTGTGAAGGCCCTGGGTCCCAGCCCTAGCAGGGTAGAGACAGGAGAGATGGAGGAGGAGGAGGAGGAGGAAGAGGAGGAGGAGGAGGAGGAGGAGGAGGAGAGGGGGGGGAGAGGAGGGGGGGGAGGAGAGGAGAGGGAGGGGGGAGGAGAGGAGGGGGAGGGGGAGGGGGAGGGGATCCCGCCCCCCCCCCCCCCCGCAGCCGCTGGGACGCTGCAAATGGGGTGACCTCTGCCACGTTATTAGCAGCCGCCTGGGCCTCCCTGGGCCTCCCCAAAGCGAGGGAGGCGGCAGAGGCCTTTTTAAGGGCCCCCTCTTCCCCGGGCACCCCCCACCTGAGCGCGCTGAAGAGCCCATTAAGCGATTTTTTTTCTTCCACTTACAGCTCGCGGCATGGACGGATTCAATATCTGCCTTGCAAGAGCCTGGGCCGCCTGGATAAAGGACCCCCCTCCCTGCCCGCCGGCACGTTTGATCCTCTCCCGGCCCCCCAGACCCCCGGGCAGGAGAGGCGCTGCCGCCCCCAGGCGCAGCGTTTCAAGTCTGCAGGCTGGGGTGGGGGCAGGGAGCCGGGCTCCTTTGCAGGTGGGCGGGAGGCCGCCTCCCCCAGGAAGCCTTCCGGGGTCAGGACCCTGAGCTCTGCCTGTGTCCCCAGCATAAGAAGGCCGAGGCAGGCACAGGACAGGTCAGGTCGGGGTGGGGGCTTAGGACTGAACCCCATCTGGGGCTCGAGGCCTGCAGGTGGCCAGGTGCAGAGGGAAGCCCTGGTCCAGACCAGGGGAGGCGTCCTGTCCACTCACACGGGGCGCTAGCCCGTCATCACAGCACTCTGGGAGGCTGAGACAGGAGGGTCTCCGCTTTGAGAGGAGCTCAGGCAACTTGGTGCCTGAGTGAGACTCTGCCTCAAAATTAAAAATGATAAGCAAATTAAGATGGCTGCTTCTGGGTTCCGCGCCGGTCAGCTGCCCACTCCTCTCTGGAACTTTGGGCAGCCCCACTTCCTGTCAGGGACTCCCAGGACTTCCTGGAGAAGCTCAGCGCTGTTTGTAAGTCTTGAATCCGTGGGCACCGGGGGCAGCTGGGAGTTTATCTCTGGAAATAAGTCACGGATTCCAACAAGCAAACTCTGACCCAAGGCCCTGGGGTAGGACAGGGAACAGGTGCCCCGGAGGACCCGGGTTTGCCCAGCCCAGCCAGCTTCTAGGATCTTCCCACAGGACCAGGGGCTTAATGGATAACGGCGTGGGGAGGAGGCTGGAGGACAGCTGTCGCAACGCCTGAGCCCCACCTGCTTCCAAGTAACAACCACCCCCTGGCGCACTCCCGTGATCCCCAAACTTGAGGCTGAGCCACAGAAGGCTGACAAGTTCAAGCCCAGCCCAGGCAATTGAGTGGCTCTGGAGGACCCAGACTCAAAATTAAAAATTATTAAGGGCTGAGGGATGTAGCTCAGCATGCAGGCCCTGGGTGGGATCCCCAAGACTGGCAGGAAAGAAAGAGAGAGAGAGACAGGACAAACAATCACAACTAAATGAATAAATAAAGCCTACCACACAGGGGGTACTGAGGTCCTAAAGGGACCGGGTTGAGGGGCCACATAGAGACACAGAAATGAGCCCAGGTGAAGAGGCCGAGGACTGAGCATGCAGATGGGCCCTATGGTGTGGGTGCGAGAGAAGGGCAAGGTGTGGGGGAGGGGTGGGACACTGGAACTGGGCTTTGCAGGTAGAATAGGAGTTTGCTAGAGAGTGGGAGGAAAAAGCAGGCCCTTGTGGCAGCGCTGGGAGGGACTGACACTGAGGCCGCTGGGGGGACGCGGGCAGCCCGGGCCAGGCTCAAAGCTGAGTCTGCGGAGGCCTTGGTCAGTGTGGAGCAGGCGGTGACCGGTCCAGCAGAGGTGGCCTGGGCAGAGGGACCCAGGTGCCCACGGGAGGGCGAGGGAGGCCGCTTCCCCTCCTGCTCCCCAAATGGCGAAGCCCTTCCCCGCTTCCCAGGGATTCATTCTGCAGAGAAGAAAATGCTTTTTGTATTGATAATGGGCTCACTGTGCCTGCGCAGCCTCTGTGCACCAGCCCTGCCGTCCCCTCCCCTCCCCAGGCTGGGCTCCTCGGCGCGCCCTGAGGCTGCCGCAGCCCCGGCCACCCGCGCAGGCAGGGCCGGGCCTGGGCCTGGGTTGATGCCGCTGCCCGGAGACCGGGCTGCTGCCGCTCGGCTGAGCCGCACGGGGAATTGTTGGAAATGTCGCCTCTTTCTCTGGCGGACATCAAACCGCAGGAGGTAGGGGCGCTCTCCTCTACCCCTCCAGCAGTCTCGGCGCCCGGTTATTAGACACCTACTGTGCGCCCCGCCCCGGCCTCTGCGGCCAGCAGAGCGGACCTGAGCCCTCCCTCCCTGAGCGCACAGGCTGCTGGCAGAAAAGGATGGGAAAAAAGCAAGAAGAAATGAAAAAATAAAAAAATTTTTTTTCAGGGAGGCTGAGGCAGAAAGATCTCAGGCTCCAGGCCACCTGGACAACTTAGCGGTCCCCGGCTCAAGGGAAAAAGAGATACGATGTGGCCAGGGTAGGTCTTGCCAGCATGCACAAGGCCCCGGGTTTCTCTTCACTACCCCGAAAGCAGATTCCAGGGGAAGAGTGTTCAGCTACGAATCCTAACCGGCCCCCGGAAGGGAGGCTTAGGAGTGCGTCAGTGTAAAAGAGGGCGGACTCTGGGAGCTCTGGGCTGCTGAGGTGGTGACCCCGAAAGAGATCAGAAAAATGCAGAGGAGCCCCCTCTGTGACCTGGGGGGACAGTCACTTTCCTGGGACGGACGAACAGCTGTGGACATGCCCAGAGGCTCGGGGTAGCAGAACCGGTCAGTGAGTTGCCCAGGCTGGGCTCAAACGTGGGATCCTCCTGCCTCAGCCTCCCAGAAGGCAGGGATGCCAGGCGGGGCCACCTCACCCAGCTTGGTAATTTGCATTTCTGATGGATTCAGAAGGCTCAGAGGCCTTACTGGTCTAGGAGCAGCCTCTGTTCCCAGAACCAGAGTCAGTGGCCTGGTGAGAGGAATGCTCTGGCCAAAGCTCCAGGGACAGGGACAGGGACAGGGACAGGGAGAGGGGTGAGGACACACAGTAGGCACTCAGTAAATGTAATGACAGCGTGAGCAGTGGTGATGATGCAGCACATGTGGGGGCAGAGAATCTTTTCTGAACCAGTGCCAGGTCAAAACGCAGGATGCAAAGGCACAGCTCCCAGTGTATCAGTCAGCTACAGCTGCATAACAAATTCCCACAAATGGTCCAGCTGAACAAACATATTTATTATCTCACACTTTCTGGCCATCCCTTGGCTGTGTCTTCTGTTCAGGTCTCACCAGACTACAGTCCAGGTGTCAGTCAGGATTTGGGCCAGCTCATGCCCTAAGCGGCAGGGTCCATGTCCTAGCGGAAGTCCAGGTCTTCCTGCTGGCTCTTCAGCTGGGGGCCGCCATCAGGGGGCAGCACCCAGGCTTTCTGCCAGGGGTCCTCTCCAGACTCCCTGTCTATCGGGATGGTCACACGGGCCCTTGGTGTCTGAGGGAGAAAGCTCCCTGGACCCCCATGGAACCCCGAACCCTAGGTGCTGAGGTCCCTGATGGAATCTGGCTACGGCTGACATGGAGACCTGTCCTCCCATGGATTTTGTTTTATTAATTTTATTAATTTACTACTTTTTGGAGGTAGCAGAATTGAACACAGGGCCTTTCCACAGAGCTTCAGTGCTAGCTCTTCTTAAAATTTTTTATCTTAAAACATTAAGTGGCCCAGGCTGGGCTGGGACTTGAGATCCTTCTGCTTCAGCCTCCCAGACTGCCGGGATGACGGGTGTCACCACTGTGTCCCGTGTTTGTAGTCGTGACACAAATAACCAGAAGAAAAAGTGAGTATGCTTTTAGGACCTATGCGGTTTTTCCCTCAAATATTTTCAGTCTCTGACTTGTTAAATCTAAAGACACAGTGGCCTGAATGTGTCCCACAAGGGACTTGTGGTGGTGACTACCAGCCACATCTGGAGGGGAAGAGACAAAGTGGGATGAATTGCTTTAGGATCCCGTCGGCCAAGCTGGGTGGGTGGCATGCACCTGTAATCCCTGCACTTGGAAGGCTGAGACAGGAGAATTCCAAGTTCAAGACCAGCCCTGATCTAAAGAGAAAAAAAAAAAAGTAGAGAAAAGAGAAAAAGAATTTGCCAGCCATTGCTTGCTTGGGACTGCACAGAAATACACAGCTGAACATTTGTGCCTCCAAACACCCATAAAAATGTGCCCAGACACAGAAATGGATGCGCTTGCAGTGTTTCTCTCTTTGCATTGCTTGCCAGGAAACTCAGAGAGAACATTGGACCCCCTGGGTGGCAAGGGTTCAGAACCAGCTGCTGTGGGTTTTGGAGACCGGCTTCTCCTTGAGTTTTCTCTTCTCTCAGCCTCCATTCTGTTTTCTCTCTCTGCCTGGCCTCTTTACCCTCTTTTCCACCCCAATCTTTCTGGACCCCCTCCCCCCACTGGAGATTAGCCAGCAAGGTCACAGGTCTGGCTGAACAACCTGCCTTGGGCAGGAATCAGGGAAGCAGCCCCTGAGCCAGCTGAAGAAATCATCCTGCAGAGGACCCGAGGGGGGCTCATCAGCAGCACAGTCACCCCAAACCACCCCCTCTACCCCAATCCACATCGGAGTCCAGGTGCTGCTTTGGGAAACCCCGTCTCTCCTGCGGCAGTCCAGCCAAGTCTGGCCTTGAAGCTCACCCGGCCCAGGCGGTGGAGGAGACAGCAGAGCCCCCCAAACCATGCCTTCCCGGGTTCCCAGGTACCTGCAAAGCAGCCATGGCCCCGCCGGCCAGGGCCCCGGTCGTTGGTGCAGGAGACTGAGCCCTGGCTCCGGGGTCCCCACTGGGCATCCCAGAGCTGCGGGAGGCCGAGGCAGGAGGGTGTCAAGCTGAGCCCAGCCTGCCTGATTTAGCGACCCGTTGGACCCTGTGCCGCCCAGGCCCACCCCAGCCACGTCTGCTGCGAGGCTGAGCCCAGGGAGGTGTGGCCTGGGGTCTGCTCTGGGCTCTGTCCCCTCCCTCCGTCCAGAGCCGCGGCCCTGGCTCCAGGCCCCCAGGATCGATCTGAGATCAATCCTGCCGGCGGGGGCCTCCTGTCGCCTTCCTCCCCCACCTGTCTGCCCTCCCCCTGCACAGACCTCAGCAGCTCTGCCTGTCACACGGGTCCCTCTGAAAGCCTGCTCTATCCCTGCTGCACGAATGGGGAAACTGAGGCTCCAGAAAGGCCACCCGGTGGGCAAGAGGATTTACAAATCTGACACCAGTGCTGAACTCCGTGAGGGCAAAGCTACCAGAACAGGCTCTCACTCAGGAACATGCAGGGGATGGTACCTGAAAGGGCCGGGGCGCCAGCAGCCTCCATAGCCAGGGTGGAAGCCAGACCAGTCTCCCCACCTGTGAAATGGTGACGCAGGCTGGGTACACTGGCACGCGTGCCCCTCTGTCAGGCCTCTGCTTCCTTCCTACTCTGCGGGTCTTTTAAGTGTTCCAGGCAGGAGAGAGGCATCTGCACTGGGCCTGCCTCAGTTTCGCCGTCTGGAAAACAGTAGAGCCTGGATCAGGCGGTCATTCAGGGCCTGCTCAGCGCCTTCCCTTCCATGCTGCTGTTGTGACCCGAGGAAGCCCCCCCTTCCCGGGGACCCTCCTTCCTGGCCTGTGACAAGCAGACCTCCCCGTGTCCTCTCACCCACAGCCTGGGGTGGAAACAGGGCCCTGAGGCCTCAATTAGGACAGACAGACAGACAGATAGAAACAGGGAGCGCTGGGGAGGGAGCCTGCAGCTCTCGGCCCAAAGTGCAGGGAGGGAAAGGCAGAGGGGGAGGGGCGCCTGCCAGGGAGGGACCAAGGAGACAGCTGGGGGTGTCAGCTGAGGGCTCCCAAATCTTCCTGGCCTGGGGAGGCTGAGGCAGGAAGGTCACTGCAAGTTCCAGGCCATTCTGTGTCCAAAAAAAGAGGCAGAGAAGAGGGGAGGTTGGGGAGCTCCTCAGGGACCCCCAACTCTTTCAGCGTTTAGCGTGCCCTTGGCCTTCCCGGTGGGTGGGAGAAACCGAGCCCCAGTGAGCAGTCTCAGCCTGGTGCCCAGCGCCACCGAGCCCTGGCCCGGCCTCTGAGGCCTCCGCGCAGGGACCCCAGAGGGTCGCAGATCCCCTCCCCCGGGCGTCCTCTCTGTGGGCCGGGTGTGGGTGCCGGCTCTGTGCCCCCCCGCCCCGTCCCTGCCCTGGGGCTCACCCCCAAGTGACACACCCACCGTGTCTGTCTGTCCATCTGTGACAGACCCGGCTCCCCTACAGACAGAGTTGGGGTGCAGACTTGGGAGCTGAACTCTGAAGAGCAGAACCCCTGTCTCTCTCTCCCACACCCCACATGCTGTGACTCACTTTTGGGCTCAGGAACAAAACAGCTCCCGACAGACGCAAAAGCCTGACCCCCTCCACCCTGGCATTCAAGGCCTGGCTTTCAGCTTTGGGCCCCAGCTTTATCTAATCGGCACAGTCAACAAATATTTCCTAGTGAAGCCCTTTGAGGTGCCCGGAAGATTGAGTTGATGCCAGGCTCCTGCCCTCTGCCCCACCTCCTTCCTCTCCAAGTGACAAGGAGTCTTTTTATCTGTGATTTACCTATCTGTCCATAACTCCTACACATCCTACAAAACCCAGCCTCTCAGTCTCCCTCATCTAGGAAGGGAGAGCTTGCTCCCTCCCTGCTCCACACCTCTGTTCAGTCCTGAAGTCAGCCAGGATGGGGGTGGCAGCCCAGTCACCGTTCTCCTGTCCAAGTTTGGGAGCTCCGGGAACAGAAGCCAAAGGCTGGGCCCCAGCTGCAGGGCAGAAGTGCACAGAGAGGTTGTTAAGTCAAGCGGATGGCCCAGCTCCTCTACCCAGCTGGAGCAGGCAGATTCGGTCAGATGAGGCCTTCCTCAGTCCCAGCACCTCGCCACCACCCAGGAGGACAGGGACTCAGGCCCAGGCCCCCAGGCGGATTGGAGGAAAGGTCCGCGTGGCAGGGTAACCGGCAGGGGGGTGGGGCCCCAGCTCGGCCTGCCCGGCAGAAAGCAGCAGGCCCGGCTCTGGCCGAGCGCGGCTCACCTGCGTGCAGCTCCCCAGTCCGGGCTCCCCGGGGTGGCTCTGGGTGTCCGGGTCTGGAGAGCGGCGCTGTCCACGGCGGCTCCGTCCTGGGCCCGTCCACGGCCTGGACACTTCGGGCTGCGGCACCGGCCAGCTGGGGCCGCGCAGAGCCGGCTCCCGAGACCCCGGGCCGCGGGGCCTCTGCAGGCTCACCGCGCCGGGGCGCCCCTCTCCCGGCTCCGCGCGCCCCTTTCCTTCCGAGGGAGCGCGGGGGGCGCCCATCTGCACCCCATCTTCACAACGGGCGGCCGCCGGGGCTGACCAGGGCGGCCCTCGCCGCCCCTCCGGAGCGCGCTGCACCCGGGTTTCGCTGCGCCCGGGCCGCCGGGGCCTGCAGCGGCGGGCAGCGCTGGGCGGGGGGTCCGGCTGGGGGGTGGGGGCGTCCCGAGGCCCCTGCCCTGCGCCCCTCCCCCGCCTTCCAGAGCCCCCTGCCTCAGTTTCCCGCACTGCACCTGGAGCGCGCGGCGGGAGCGCCCGCCCAGAGGACGGGAGAAAGCGGGGTCCGCGCCCGGCCCGGGGCGCGCCCTGCCCCAGGCAGCTCCGCCTGCGCCCGGACAGGCCCGGAGGGAGCCCCGGCTCTCCCCGCCGCTGCAGGGAAACTGAGGCGCGCGCCCGCAGGCGGGGAGGGCGAGGCTCCCGCGCACTCAGCTGCGGATTCGATGGCGGCCGGGCCGGGGCGGGCGCGGGCATCGATCGCGCGCAGCTGTCGCAGAGGAGCCGAGGCCCGTGCGCCCCTGACCGCGCGGGGACCCCCGGGACGCTCGGCCCGCCAGGGGCGAAACCCCGACTTGGAGAAAACTTGGGGTGCGGCTTTGGGGACGTCCTGGGGCCCAGCGGGCCGAGGTCGAGGTCGGAGTCTTGGGGAGCAGCGCGGCCCGGGGAGGGGGACCCCGCCAGCTGTGAGAGGCCCGCGCCCTCCCCGACCTCGCCCGAATGAAGCTGGAGCTAAAGGCGGGGGTCTGGGGCGTCACGGTTTGGGGGCGCAGGGGGGAGCCGGCGCGGCCCGGGGCTGCAGGGCGGTTATTTTGTACCCTCGCTCTGAGGGAACTGTCCCCCCAGCCGGTGAGTTTCACATCCCAGGGAGGCAGATTTAATCAGGACCACGGATGGGGCCGGGGAGACCCCAGAAAAGAAAATTGGGGGGTAACAACCCCCCACAATTTGCAGCCGGCCCGAGACCTGGAAATCAGGCGGCTGGGGGAGAGGAGGCGCGCAGGAGGCGGATTCGGGCAGCTGCATTTGGCGAGGGGTGACTCCGGTGGAGGAGAGGGCGCCCCAACCTTCTCTCCTCTGTTCAGCCCTGGGATGGGGGGCCGGAGCCTGAGCCTAGGACCCGCCCCCAGGCCCGAGCCGGGCACAGAGAGGGCAGGCGTGGCCCCGAAGCCCAGCACACCAGGCCAGAGAGACGCGCCGGGCCGCACCTCGGTCCTCCCGGAAGGGGTGCTGAGCCCAGAGTTTCTGGGGTGTTGAGGTCCCCACAAAGCCAGGAAAGGGGCTCCCAGCACCCCTGCAGCCCACCCTCCCCCACTCGCAATTTGCCTAATGACCCAGGATCGATCCGGCCCAGCCCCCCGCCGGCTCTATTTTACTAATTACTAAAAGGGGGTGGGGATGCGGGCTCCGGGTCCCTGGGGGGCCACACGCCATCTCGGGGGCCGCAGATCTGCGCCCGGTTCCCAGGGGGGCCCAGAGGGAGCGCCCCGGTCCTGCAGGAGTCCCGTGCGCCTGGGCCTAAGAGGGACCTGGGGATGGCAGCGCTGCGTGCACCCGCGGAGGCCCAGCCCCGGGCTCAGTCCTTTTTAGGGTGTCCTGAAGCAGCCGAGGGGAGGGACCCCACCTCAGAGCCGTGGGCCACCGCTCTCCCTGCAATATGGATCCCGTCAAAGGAAAATCCAGTGCGGCCGCAGGAAGCCGAGCCTGAAGCAGGAGTCGCCCCTGACCCCCACCTGCTTCCCCCGTCCCCACAGGATCACTGCCTCCCGTCCCCCCTTTTTCCACCCCCTGCTCTCCACCCCACCCCGCCTGGGCCTCCCAAGCTTGGGGTGCTATTATTTTTATGGCGGCCCATTGATTTTTAGACCCCACGATTCTTTTTCATGATCTGTGACTGCCCAGCCCGGGCTGGGCTTTGGCTGCGGCCCCACTCCTGGACCCGGCAGCCCCATGGGGAAGGCGAATCTCACTTCCAGGCCCGAACCCCCTCCTGCCTCGGTCTTCCCACCCGGAAAATGGGTGTGATTGTGGGCCACGCCGGAAATCACTCTCCAGGCCTGGGAAGGGGGCATCCAACGCCCCGAGCTGGGGGTGTCTGGGTCCTTGGACAGAACCGTGGGGTCCAGGAGAGGAAGCCCAGGGGTCCCTGCTCATGCCAGGGCCTAAGACACAGTGAGAACCCGGATTTAAACAACTAAACGCTAAACTACTAACCACTGAGTCCTAAGCACCGACAGGAACCCTTGCGTCCCACCCAACGCGATGACACGGCTCAGGGCAGCCCACTCAGTGATCCCCTCCAAGATCGAGATCCCAATCCATCACTCCACCAAGTCCCCCAGCACTCAGAGACCGGCCCCCCTCCAGTAACTGGGGACGATGCAGACTCTCCCCAGACCCTTGGCTGAGGGGGGCTGGAAGGGACCTGCTGACTGCTCACAGGTGGGGGAACAGAGTCACAGAAAGGGGTTCAAGCACAGGGCACGGTGCAGAGCACCACGCTGCCTTGCGTGGCCACGTTGCCTGTGTTGCGTGGGCACCGACTTCTGCGCTGGGCCCCTTCCTCCCCGAGCCCCCAGAGCGCAGGTGCGAGGACAAAGCACGGTCCCCGCGGCCAGGCACCTCCGGAGGAGAGGAGCTGAGGGGTTCCCCTGGCCTCTGGCTCTCTCCTCTCTCGCCTGCATCCTACCCAATGCACCTGCCCCCGAGGTGACGCCTCATTAGTGCAGTCCCCCATTGACCCCACTGCCCAGGAGCCCCTGGGCCTCACCTGTCACCGGGTGGTGAAGAGGACCGCCCCCACCCACAGGAGCCTACAGCGGGACGGAGAGGAGAGAGGACCTGGGGTCCCTGGGCCGAGGGTGACAGGTGACCTTAACCCTGGGCTTTGAGCACACAGGGACCCTGGCGTCCAGAGGGATTCTTGGCACCCCCCACCCAGGCCGGGCGTTCTACTGGGCACTTGGGGAAACTGAGGCCCGGCTGCCCTCACAGGGGGAGGACCCTGTGCGCCTGCCTCTCTCTTTGCCCACTTCGTCCCCCCAAGAGGTGGCTGTGAGGCCGGGCTCGCAGGAGATCTGGCCCCCGGGGGTCTATGCAACAGGGGTGACCCGGGGATCACCCCTAAGCGTCTGGCCACACAGCCAGGCGCACTCTGGAGCCGAACCCTTAACTCCAGAGTGCACCCCAGAGCGCCCAGGGACGCCGATGGAGCCCCCTCGCCACCGACGCGGGGCGTGCCTGACCCTCGCCCGCCGCTGTCCCCTGGGCGGAAGAGCCGCTCCCCGAGGTGGGCACGAGCACGGGGGACCCCGGAAGCTCCTCGCCCCAGCCTCTCTCCCGCCTGGCACTCGCGGGGGCCGGCGGGCGGGGTGCGGGTGGGCGGGGGCGCTGACGTCAGACCTCGGCCCGGGCGCCGCGGTCGCTCCCCGCCACATTCTGGTGGCCGCGGTCGCTCAGTCGCTCGCAGCCTGGCCGGACATTGCGCCGAGCAGCCTGGAGCCTCTGGCGCGCGCGGCCACCGGGGAGCAGGCGGGGGCCATGCGGCGGCCTTGAGCGCGCCAGGCGGGCGCTGAGCATGGAGCTGAGCCTGGAGAGCCTCGGGGGGCTGCATGGCGTGGCCCACGCGCAGGCGGCCGAGCTGCTGAGCCCCGGCCACGCGCGCCCCGCCGCGGCGCAGCACCGGAGCCTGGTGGCGCCCGGGCGCCCGGGCTTGGTGGCCGGCATGGCCAGCCTGCTGGACGGCGGCAGCGGCGGCGGCGGCGGGGGTGCAGGGGGGGCCGGGGGCGCGGGCGGCGCGGGCGGCGGCGCGGGGGGCGCGGACTTCCGCGGGGAGCTGGCGGCGCCGCTGCACCCCGCCATGGGCATGGCCTGCGAGGCGCCCGGCCTGGGCGGCACCTACACGACGCTCACGCCGCTGCAGCACCTGCCGCCGCTGGCCGCCGTGGCCGACAAGTTCCACCCGCACGCGGCCGCCGCGGCCGTGGCCGGAGCGCACGGCGCCCACCCGCACGCGCACCCGCACCCCGCGGCCGCGCCGCCCCCGCCGCCCCCGCCGCAGCGCCTGGCCGCCAGCGTGAGCGGCAGCTTCACCCTCATGCGCGACGAGCGCGCGGCGCTGGCCTCCGTGGGCCACCTCTACGCGCCCTACGGCAAGGAGCTGCCGGCCATGGGGTCGCCGCTGTCCCCGCTGCCCAACGCGCTGCCGCCCGCGCTGCACGGCGCCCCGCAGCCCCCGCCGCCGCCGCCGCCGCCGCCGCTGGCCGCCTACGGGGCCCCGGGGCACCTGGGCGCCGACAAGCTGCTGCCGCCCGCCGCCTTCGAGCCGCACGCCGCGCTGCTGGGGCGCGCGGAGGACGCGCTGGCCCGAGGGCTGCCCGGGGGCGGCGGGGCCGGGGCCGGGGGCGGCGCGGCGGGCGGCGGGGGCGCCGCGGGGCTGCTGGCGCCGCTGGGCGGGCTGGCGGCGGCCGGGGCGCACGGGCCGCACTCGGGCGGCGCCGGCGGGGGCGGAGGCGCGGGCGGCCCGGGCGCGGGCGCGGCGGCGGCGGCCGAGGAGATCAACACCAAGGAGGTGGCGCAGCGCATCACGGCCGAGCTGAAGCGCTACAGCATCCCGCAGGCCATCTTCGCGCAGCGCATCCTGTGCCGCTCGCAGGGGACGCTGTCCGACCTGCTGCGCAACCCCAAGCCCTGGAGCAAGCTCAAGTCCGGCCGCGAGACCTTCCGCAGGATGTGGAAGTGGCTGCAGGAGCCCGAGTTCCAGCGCATGTCGGCTCTGCGCCTGGCAGGTAGGGTCCCCGGGAACGGGCCCCTCCCCGGCCGGCGTGCGCCCTGAGCCCCTGCGCCTTCGTACTGTCGCCGAAAGGGAGGAGGACGGGGTGCCGCCAGCCCCACCGCACCCCACCGGGGCGTGCTCCGGGGACCCCCCGGGCTCCGGTGCCGCTGCCAGCCGGGAGGGTCGGCGCGCTTCGGGGGCGCAGCGCGCAGGGCGGCTTATTGTGCGCGCGCGCGTCTGCCTGGGGCTGGGGTGCTGTGGCTTGGCCCAGCGCGGTGTCCTCACGCGGGTGTGACACCCTCGCCCCTAAGGCCCCGGCGGGAGGTCGCCGGGCCTCCAGCCCCGGGCCATGAGCGCCCGCGTCGGCGGGGTCGGGCCGCGCGCTCCGCTTTGTAGCTCGGTCCCTGCGATCGATCGCCCCTCCCCCACTCCGGCCGCTGGCAAAGGTCACCCGGGAGCGCGGGGGAGGGGCGGCCCGGGGACCCTCGGCTCGCGCGCCCCGGAGGCCTCCACACCGGGCCCGGCCGCCCCCACCGCCCCGCCTCCGCTCCGGCCTCGGGTGCGCGCGCCGCGGCCGGCCCTGCTTTTGGGGGTTCGGCCTCTCCGGTCCCCGCTCCACCACGCACGGGCAAAACCCACGACGGTTCCTTCCCCGCTCGCCCTGCGCTTTTATCCTGCTCCCTCCCGGCCTGCTGCAATCGCTGCCCCCCGGGGACCCTGCGAGCTCCCCTCCCGGCCGACAAGCGCGGGGTGTACGGCTGCCCCCAGCCGGGAGGCCGCTCAGGCCCCAGAACCCGGTGTTTGGGGGTGCGAGCGAGGCGGCCCCGCCCCCGTCCCCTAGGTAGGGCGCCTTTCCCTGCTGGCGTTGGGGAGCCGGCCGCGCACCCCGCGCTCCAGCGACAATAGCAGCTGCCGGCTCAGAGCGATCGATCGCTGGGCTGATTTCTCACAAGGGCGAGAAGGGCGGGGACGCGCGGGGCTCCAGCCGGAAGCCCGGGTAGCCCGTGACAGTGGGGGGGGGTGACCCTGTTCCCCACTCCCCCTTCCAAACACCAGGGCTGACCCGGTGTGGCCACAGGGCCCCCTGAACCCTACAACCCGCTCCCTCCCCAACAACCCAGGCGGGAAGCAACCCACTCGCCGGCCTCAGTTTCCCCTTTCTGCAGAGCCCTGAGTCTGGCCAGAGTGGCCTCCGGGACACTTGGATGCTCCGATTCGGCCTTGGGAAAATAAATCCCTGTTGGAGGGTCCCTGTGGCAGGGACCCAGGACCCAGGGAGGCTGCTCCGGGCTGGGCCACCCTGGCTGTTTGTCCCCCTGCACACACAGGGACGCACAGAGGGACACTGGGTCACACCCACGATCGGTGACCCGTGCACTGGGGCATGAAGAGCGGTGATGCCCAGGGGCGCTCGCCAAACCGGGGTTCCCCATGTCACCGGGACGCAGGCCCACTGCTGCCTCCTCCCCGGCGTCCTTCCTGCGGTCAGCTGGTGCGTCTGAGGTGACCACCTAGCGTCCCCATGTCCCCTTCCCTCCCATGCGGGCAGTGGAGCCCTCGCTCTGCGTCCCCTCCGCTCTGGGTTACTTCTGTGGTTTATTCTGAGGCAGGGCCTCCCTCAGCTCTGGCTGCTCTCTAACTTAGAATTCTCCTGCCTCAGCCTCGAGAAGTAGTCACCATGACAGGCCTCATTAGCGGTGTTTGAATGGTGCGTCTTGGGGTCACAGAGACAAGCTGCCCGGTGACCCAGAGGGACACCGAGGGGCATGCAGGTACCCTGCGACCCCTGAGCCCCTGTTCAGTTGTGCTCACCCCCACCCAGGCCACCCTGCATGTCTACCCGCTTCGGGCCTGATTATGGGAGGGTAAACTGAGGCCACGTTTACCGGGCTCTGCCTCCTGATTCCCGAAGCGGCGGAGGCTCAGCTCCCCACTTAGGAAGCAGGGGTTAGGTGGTAGCTCTGGGGCAGGGCGTGGTGGCGCACAACTGTCCCCAGCACTCTGGGAGGCTGAGGCGGGAGGATGGCAGGTCCCAACCCAGCTGCAAAGGCCCTGGGCCCCATTTCTAACACACGAATTTATATAAATGCTGCTCAGGGAAGGGGGAGCCTGCCGGCCGCGGGGCGCTCGCTGCAGGGCTCAGCCTGTCCCCTGTGCCGTCTGGGCGGTGGCAGTCAGGTAATTAGGCCCCGCCAGGCCTTTAGTTCCGGTTAAGTGGCAGCAAATCGCCGCAGTTAAGGGGGAGGCGGCCAGGCGCGACCCTGCTCACCGCCGGGCCGGCCTCGTGCTGACGGCGTCTGCAGCGGCGGGGACTCCGCGTGCGTCTCCTCGGTCCCCCCGTCCTGTGCCCGCCACGATGGGCCCTTCTGGGGCTCGGAAGGAGACCGAGGTCCTGGCAAGAGAATAAACGAAGAGACTGAGACAGATGGACAGACAGGCAGATGGACAGATGGACAGGCAGGAAGGAGGAGAGGATCCCCAGTCCCCTAGGACCCCTGCTCCCCAGCACCCCCACACAGGGCCGTCTTCTGCCCCCGGATCACAGGGCAGGGCACAAGGGGGGTGCCCATGATGGCTTTGCTTCCCAAGAAACCCCGCGTAGACCTCAGAACCCTGGTTCCTGCTTCCTAGTCTGTGTGCCTCAGTTTGCTTGTGTGTAAAATGTGTGCTGGGGGCGCAGAAGCCCGGTTCTGGCCCTGACATAGTCATTCTGTGTCTCCCTAGATCAAGACCCACCCCATAGGTCCCACCCGCACCCCACTTTCATGGACCGGGGCCCCAGAGTCCTCCTCCACCCCCACCCAGCAGAGGCCGAATCTGCCACTCTGGGGGAGGGCGGGCCGGCCCCTGGGGTGGGGGCAGTCCATGAGTCCGAATTACGGCCTCTAATTCATCACCGTGCGGTTGATGGCTCCGGCTTCCTTCAAACACTGTGTAAATTGCAACTGGGCAGGAAAAGTGGTGGGTTTTTGTTTTTGTTTTTTTTGGTAATGGATAAGAAAAATATATTTCATAAACATCAAAGCAGGCAGCTGGAAACGGGGTGCCTCTCCTCCTCCCCCAGAGGGAAGGCAGGGCCCAGCACCCCAGGAGCCCCTGGCTGGGCGCCCCTGTGACCCCAGCACTCTGGGAGGCTGAGGCAGGAGGATGGAAAGTTCAAACCCAGCCTGGGCAACTTAGGGAGACGCTGTCTCAAGAAATAAAAATCAGAGCAGCCGGGCTCAGTTGCAGAGGTCCAGGGCTCAATCCCCAGCACTAGGAAGGAAGGGAGGGAGGCAGGCCTAACCTGGGTGCCCACTGACTCTGGCTCAGCCTCAGTTCCTCATCTGAGAAATGGGCACGACAGCTCAGCGTGGACGGCGCTGCCGGGCCCCCCCAGGTCTGGAAGGGACCCCTGGTGATCGCTGCAGCTGGCATCTGGCTCCTTTATCCTCCAGTATTTTTTTTTTTTTTTTGGTACCGGGAATCAAATTCACGACCTCCTGCCTGCTGCTAGTCAGACAGGTGCTTACATCCTGAGCTAGATCCCCAGCCCATCCTCCATTCTTAAAGTCCTAGCACCGCTCACGTCCGTAAGCTCTCTCCCATTGGCCTGCTCCTTCCCTATCAACCATTACCACTCTAGTCTGAACTACCCCTACCTTTCTGCCATCTCCTTGCTGGGCTTCCAGCTCCACCTCACCCCACACACACAACCTCGGGGCTCCCCATTCCCTGCCTCATGTTCCCTGCTGGAGCTGCTCTCAGGACCTCCTGAGAGGTAGACACGCCTTCCTGTTACTGCCCACAGCACCTAACTCTAGCTCCTATCGTCCTGGTGGGGGGGGAGGGTACTCGAGGCCGGTGGAGAGACAGGGACAAAAGCCGCAGGTAGGAAAGTCAGGCTGCCGGACCCCTGCAGCTTCTTTGTGCTCAGCCAGCAAGCAGCCAGCTTAACCAGGGGAGCCGAGCTGGTTTGAAGCAGTTTTTAATTAAATATAGACCCTGATCAATACGGAGGGCAGAGCCGGTGGGGGAGGGGACAGTCTGGGCCCAAGGCCGGGCCTGGCGACCCGCACGACCTTCCGCAGGCTCGGGCGAGACTCTTGCTGCCTCGGTCTCCTCTGCCCGGTGGGCAGGGCAGGGAAATTGGAGCCCGTTTGTTTTTATTTTTAGTGTGTTCTCGGGATCGAACTCATGACCAGGAGCTTGCAAGGCAGGCGCTTATGCCCCGAGCTAAATCCCCGACCCCGAACCCCTTTTTATTTTTATTTTTAGGAAGCCTTTCTCCTGGGGAGTCTGTTGCTTTGTTTCTCTTCCGCGTCTCCCTGTGCAGCCGCCACGCTGGTCTCCAACTCGCCGTGACCTTCCTGCCTCAGCCTCCCCAGTGCAGGCCTGCGCGGCCACACCCGGCACCTCCGGACTCTTGCAGATGTGGGGCGCGGCTTGGGGATCCCCCGACTTACCCAGCCACAGAGCGGAGCTGCAGATTCGGCCCTAAATAGGACAAGGGCGGCCTGTGCACACCCGGGCGGCAGGGGAGAGGTGCGGGGCGCAGTGGGGACGCCCCTCCACGGGGCGTGCAGCCCGGGGGGCCGGGGAGAGGAGACCCCTTGGTCGATGGCAGGATGTCTGCGCCTCAGTTTCCCCACCTGGGAGGTCCTGTGGGGGTCGGGAAGCCACAGAGTCCCGGGGACACCGTGCTGCACAGGTCCGGGGCGGGCTGGGGAGACCCAGACCCTGCGGCCTGAGGGGACCCGGAACTGGGACTGCGCTCTCCGTCAGCCTGGGCTGCAGGCGACTCGCTGGGACCTGCACTCCGCCAGAATCCCGGTTCCACCGAGAGTTAGGAGGGAAGGAAGGACGGGGGGCATTGTTATTATTATTATTAGAGACGACGCCTTTTGAGAGCGCGCCGCGCCAGGCTGGCGTGGGCCGCACGGTGCCCTCCTGCCTCAGCCTCCAGCGCCGGGGTAATGGCTGCCCTATTTGAGTGACAGAAGAGGCCTCTCCCGCCTGCCGTTCTGCCCACTTCCGTTTCTACACTAAAGTCCGCTGCAGGCACAAATTCTGTTTTCCTTTCCTTTCCTTTTTCTTTTTCTGGGGGTGATGGGGATTGAACCCAGGGCCTTTGCACTGAGCTCCGTCTCACCCCTTTTTACATTTCTTACTTTGCAGCCAAGGTCCGGCTAAGTCGCTAGGTGACTGAGGCTGGGCTGGAATTTGCAGTCCTCCTGCCTCAGCCTCCGGGCTGCATTTCCTTCCTTAAGGGCATAAAAGAGCCTGGGCTTGCTGTGCCCTCGCTCTGCACCCCCAGGGGATCCCCACCCCTAAACAGAGGGAACCCTGGCCAAGCAAGGAGGTGCACGCCCGTCATCCCGGTCACTGGGGAGGCTGAGGCAGGAGGATCCAAAGTTTAAGACCAAGTCTGGCAACTTAGAGAGACCCTGGACAGATATCAAAAACTGGAAAGGGCCGGGGCTGGGCTCCGCGGTGCAGCTTCGCGGGTCCAGGTCCGGCACGGTGAGGTGGCCCCGGGACAGGCGGGCCTCACAGCATTGTGGCCAGACCTTTTTACCAGCTGCCTAGTATTCTGCTGTTTCTTCATGGAGCGATTCACGCTGAGCCGATTTCCGGGCTCAGTTTCGGTCTCCTGGGGCTGCGGTGACACCATGATCCCTCACCTGACCGCATCTGGGATTAATGTCCCAACGATGGAGGCGCTAGGCCGAGCTGCTGCTCTCCCGTCCCTTATCACCAGTTCCTTTCCTGTCATCATTTTCAAATTCATTTTGTGCTGCGGGCAGCTGGGGCCGAGATTTGTGTGTTTTGTTTCTTTAATCAGAGCCGGGTGGGGTTGACTCTTACCCTAAGTGCTGATCTGTGTCACTGTGTCCAGTCCCCTTGGACACCACAGAGGGTGGCCTGGGGGAGGTGGCGACTCCTCCTTCCCCATTAGACTTTGAAAGGCTGGGAACTAATTTGAAAATTCGGCCATTGAAACCCTCTGGGGGAGGGGGTGGGGGAGGGACGGGAGGGGACCTTGGGACCCTCGAGGGGCTGAGGAACCTGGGCTGTGCCTGTAGACCCCCCTTTCTCTCTCTTTCTTTTGTTGTTCATTTTTTTCTGACAACGTCTCACTGTGGCCCAGGCCGCCTTGAACTCTGGAGATCCGCCTGCCTCAGCCTCCCCAGCTGCGATTCCGAGGCAGCATCACCGTGCGTGGGTCCCCCACTCGGAGGACGGTCAGGCTGTCACCCGCCGTCTCTGGGGTGGGGAGGCCCTGGAGGATGTGAGGCAGCTCGGCCACCAGGGTGGAGGTGATCTGGGTGCTCCCCACGTCAGGGGCCAGGATGTGTCGCCCAGGAAACCAGCCTTCCTGGCGGCAGCAGCGGCAGGCAGCGGCGGCCCCTTCGGACCAGGCTCCTCTGGGCGGACCGGCGAGGCGGGAGGGGCGCGGTGTGGTCCCCGCTGCGGCCTGTGCTGGGGGCGGGGATGGGGGCGCGGAGAAGCTCAGGGGCTCCCCCCTCCGCCCCCTGGAACTGCCGTCCCTTTTCCCCTCTGAGATTCCAGCTTCTTCCGGCCGGGGTGGGGGCGTCTCAGAGCGTCCTTCAGGTCGAGTCTGGGGGACCCGCGTGGCACCTCCGTCCCCAGGGCTCTCACCCGAAGTCTGCTTTCTTTTTTTACTTTTCGTTCATTTATTTGTTTGCTGTTTGGCTTTTTGAGCGGCGTCTCACTATGTAACTCAGGCTGACCCGGAATTCACGGCGGGGGGGCCCTCCTGCCTCAGCCTCCTGCATGTTGGGGTTGCAGGCGTGTATCGCCTTGCTGGATCGGCCCTTGGTGGGACAGCCAAGTCTCAGCTTCAGTTTCCCAGACAAGTGCAAGATTATGGGGGTGATCTTGCCCTGCCGAGGGTTCAGACTTGCCCCCCACCCCATCCCCACTGTGTGTGCTTGACAAACCCAGGAAACATCGGGGCAGGCAGAGAGCATGCGGCCAGCTGCAAATGGAGTGGCTCTGCCGCCCTGTCCTCCCCTGCCATCTCCCTCAGGCCACTCCCTCCTGCCACCCAGGCCCCAGGCAGCTGCTCCTGCTGTCTCACTGGTCAGGGTCAGAGGTCTCCCCACCACGCTGCAGGCTCTCCTGATTTCTCCCCATGGTGGTTTCATCCCAGTAACAACCCAGCCCCAGCCCAGCCCGGGACCCAGCATGGCTCTGCCAGGGGAGTCGAAGGAAAAGACCTCCTGAGGAAGGGGCCAATGTAGCTGGGCACTGAGGGATGTGTAGAAGTTCTCTGGCTAGACGGTCCAACTTCTTCCTCCTGAGATCAGTTGCTCCATCTGGCTCCCCTCCTGGAAGATTCCAGAGAGCCCTGCCGTGAGAGGCAGAGGGACCTTAAGACCTGGAAGAAAGCGGGACTCAGGGTCAGCTTCTCCCAGGAACTCCCAGGTCTCATCTCAGCCTCACTTCACTTAGGACCAGGTCCACACGGGGCCGCAGTCCGCGGGGCACGGTCTGACGCCCTCCTGGGCCTGTGGGCTGCGGGCCCCCGACACGTCCTGGCAAGGCAAGGGGCGGGGGCGCTGCGGGGGGGCAAGCCCCGGGGCTTTGCCCTTCGCGCGCGTCCTGGGGCCCGGCTGCGGTGGGGGCGGCTGCCCTCTGCCGGAAGCCTCGGGAACTGCAAGGCGCTGTCGGCCAGGGCAGGGTCGCTGCTGAGACCGAGGTCAGCCCCGCGCCTGTGCCTGGTGTGAGGTGCAGGCTGCGCCGGTGCTCTAAGGCTCAGTCCTTGGGGCCGGGAGGGCGCGGAGGGCAGGGCGGGGTGGGCTCTCAGCCTCAGGGCCGTGGGAAAAATACAAAGAAGGAAAGGAGCCGCGTTTGGTGGCGCCCTTGTCATCCCGGCACCCCGGGAGGCTGAGGCAGGAGGATCGAAAGTTCGAGCCCAGCATGGGCAGCTTAGCAATTGAGCGAGACCCTGTCTGAAAATAAAAAATGAAAAGGCTGGAGATGCAGCTCAGTGGAAAGGCCCAGCGTTCAATCCCCGGTGCCTTAGGGGGACAGGAGCGAGGGGGCAGAGGGGCAGGGGAGGGGCGGGAGGGGGCGGGGCCGGGGCGGGGCGCAGCGCACCTGGGGGGAGGACCCCCAGCAGGGGCCCCAGGCTTGGAGAGGGGAGCCAGTGGGCTGGGGTGACTCACCCAGCACCCCTCAGCACGCTGAGGTCCCCCGACAGCCCCCACACGCCAGCCCCGCAGGCTGAGGCCCTGCCTGTGGGGACTGCTGGGGCCACAGTGCTTCCCCCTGTGACAGGGCGCAGAGCACCCCAGGGAGGGCTGGGAGCTGCGGGTGCTGAAGTGGGCGACAGGTGGGTGCTGCGGGAGATGGAGGAGGAGGAGATGGAGGAGGAGATGGAGGAGGAGATGGAGGAGGAGATGGAGGAGGAGGAGATGGAGGAGGAGGAGATGGAGGAGGAGCAGGAAATGGAGGAGGGGGAGATGGAGGAGGAGGAGATGGAGGAGGAGGAGGAGGAGATGGAGGAAGAGGAGGAGCAGGAGATGGAGAAGGAGGAGCAGGAGATGGAGGAGGAGGAGGAGATGGAGGAGGAGGTGGAGGAGGAGGAGATGGAGGAGGAGCAGGAGATGGAGGAGGAGGAGGAGGAAATGGAGGAGGAGATGGAGGAGGAGCAGGAAATGGAGGAGGGGGAGATGGAGGAGGAGGAGGAGGAGATGGAGGAAGAGGAGGAGCAGGAGATGGAGGAGGAGGAGGAGATGGAGGAGGAGGTGGAGGAGGAGGAGATGGAGGAGGAGGAGGAGGAGATGGAGGAGGAGATGGAGGAGGAGATGGAGGAGGAGGAGGAGATGAAGGAGGAGGAGGAGATGGAGGAGGAGGAGGAGATGGAGGAGGAGGAGGAGATGGAGGAGGAGGAGGAGATGGAGGAGGAGGAGAGGGAAGAGGAGGAGATGGATGGCGCTCGGGGCAGTCGTGAGAAACCTCGGGACTCTGGGGCCTCAGTCAGCCTTTGCATGCTGGGTGGAGACCCGGGGACGAGGGGACCCAGGCCCGCCCTGCACCGGCAGCCCGTCACGCTGCCATCCCTTTGTACATTCGCGGTCCCGGGGACCCCACGCGGTGGCGCCTCACGGCTGAGCCCACCCAGCTCTGGTTCCCTATAAGCTTATTTTCATTTTGACACCGGACTTAAGTTTTCCAGATTAGGCTCGAATACAAGACCCTCCTGCCTCGGCCTCCCAAGCTGAGCTGCCAGGCACGCGGCCCGTTCCGCGTTCCCTATTTTTATTGGTCCTGACCCCACGCTTGCCAGCCAGGCGCTGCGCCCCTGAGCTCTGCCCCCGGCCCTTCACGTCCCCTTTAAAGAAAGGGAACCCAGGACAGCGGTGTCCGTTTGTAGGTCCAGCACTCTGCGAGGCTGAGGCCAGGCGGGCACCTTAGTGACTTAGCAAGACCCGTTCTGAAAATAAAGACATAAAAACGGCTGGCGATGTGGCTGGTGCGCAGGGCCTGGGCTCGGTCCCCAGCAACTGAAAAACCAGGGCGAGGGGCCAAGGATGTAGCTCAGCAGCGTAAGCGCCTGTCTGGCAAGCGCAGGGTCCTGAGTTCGATTCCTGCTGCCGAAAAGAATTTGAAAAACCAAACTGAAACACAATGGGCCCGGAGTTCCCTCCCCTGACCTTGTGCGGATAAAAGGAAAATAGGTCCACCTGTCTCCCGCCGTGAGGTTTCATGCACCAGCGCCCCCTGCTGCTCACTGAGCCGCCCCAGCCTCGCCCAGTGTGTGTGTTTTGGCGCTGGGAACAGAGCTCAAAGCCTGACCACGCTGCGTCCAGGCTCGAGTGTGGATGTCTTTTGTCAGTTTGGGAGGTTGTTGTTTGTTTTTGTTTGAGACGGGGCCTCGTTATGTGATCCAGGCTGACCTCGAACTCACAGAGACCCTCCTGCCTCAGCCTCCCAAATGCTTGTGTGCCAAGCATACACCACAGTGCCCACCTTATTTATTTATTTATTGGTAACATAGTCTCATTATGTTCCCAGGGCTGATCTTCAACGCTTGGGCTCACGCAGCCCTCCTGCCTCAGCCTCCCGGGTGCTGGGATGACAGGTGTGGGCCACCTCACCGAGCTGCCTTCTTCCTCCTCCTCCTCCTCCCCCTCCCCCTCCCCTCCCCCTCCCCCTCCCCTCCCCCCCCTCCCCTCCCCCCTCCCCCTCCCCTCCCCCCCTCCCCCCAGACTCAGGCGCCTCCCCCTCAGCCTCGCAGAGGGCGGGACCGCAGGCGTGCAGCGCCCCCGCCCGGCCCAGCTCTGTGCGTCTCTGCTGAGATCAGCCCCTCTGCTCACTTGTCTCCTCTGACTCGCCCGCCGCTGCCCAGCAGCCTGCTGCCTACCGTTAAGCATGAAACCTGCCGGCCCGGGGGTCAGAGCCAGCAGCCAGGGCCGGGGGCGCCGCCTCCGTGACTCTAGGCCTGCAAACCCCGGTCCCTGAGAAACGCGTCCGGCGGCAGACACGCATCTCTTTTCCCCGTCTGGCCGTAGGGCTGCGGAACCCGAGCGCCAACCCGCGGGGCCCGGCAGGGGGCGCTGCAGAGCCCCCAGGCCCGGGAGTCTGCAGCCCCCCGGCTTCTGGGATCAGTGGGGGGCGGGAGGCTCGGACGGCGTCGGGGCTGCGGGGCAGAAAACACCCGTGGGCCGCTGGGGAGGGGGGCCAGCTCCCCTGAAGCCCCCCTGTTCCCCATCCCGTCCCCCGCTGTGTCCGCTGCGCCTCCGCAGGGCTCTGGCGCCCCCTAGAGCCGCCCCCGGGTAGTGTCTGGGGCCTTTGTCCTGCTCGGAGAAAACCGCGCCGCGCGTGGTCCCAGCCCGGACCCCGCACGCCCTCCCCCTTCCCGGATCCTCTCCGCCGCCCCGAGGGGTCCCGGGGCGCTCGCTGGAGGGCGCGGTGGCGCCATCGGGCTCGCGGGCACCGCGCCCGGGCCCTGGGTTTTGGGGTGCCCTTCTCCGGGCGGGCGGCAGGGGGCGCTGCAGAGTTGGGGCGGCGCCGAGCTCACGCCGGGTCCCCGCCCCCCGCAGCCTGCAAGCGCAAGGAGCAGGAGCAGCAGAAGGAGCGCGCGCTGCAGCCCAAGAAGCAGCGCCTGGTCTTCACCGACCTGCAGCGCCGCACGCTCATCGCCATCTTCAAGGAGAACAAGCGGCCGTCCAAGGAGATGCAGGTCACCATCTCGCAGCAGCTGGGGCTGGAGCTCAACACCGTCAGCAACTTCTTCATGAACGCGCGGCGGCGCTGCATGAACCGCTGGGCCGAGGAGCCGGGCGCCGCCGCCGCCCCCGGGGGCCCCGCCGCCAGCGCCGCCGCCAACGCCGCCTTCTCCAAGGCCTGAGCGCCCCGCGCCGCCCCGGGGGGACCGCACACCCCGGCCGGCGCACATGGGGCCCCTCCCGCCCCCAGCCCAGCCCAGCCCAGCCCCCCAGGCGGGGACCCCAAGGGGCTCCCCAGCTCCCCCACCCACACCCCGCCTCCGTTCAGGACGCCGTCCAGGGTTGGGAGGGGCCCCCAGGAAATTCGGGGCTCACTGTGTGGTCCCTTGAAGCGGGTCAAAAAGCACATACTAGAAATATAAACCGGGTATTTAAGGGAAAAAAAAAAAGGAATTTTAAGAATAAGCTTCCTCTGCCAGACACCCCAGCCCCCCAAGGAAGGCAGAGGGGCTAAGGGGAACGAGCCCCCAAGCCACCCCCTGCACCCACTGTCCCTTCTGAGTGGCCAAAACCCACGTTAAGCTGGGTCCTCCGGCGCCCCCTCCCGTCCCACGCCACCCCTCTGCTGGCAGGACCCCCCCAGCCGAGACCCCCCACTGCCACCACCCAGAGGCCAGGATCTCTCGTGCCAAGATTTGCCTGCCTTAAAACCTGGGGAGGGCCCGCGAGGACAGCGCCCTCGTCACCCACCGACCTGGGTGTGGCCGGCCCCAACATGCGGGTACATCCCAGGCGCCTCTGCCCCGCACCCCGTGGTTGAATTCGCTCTATAAACCGGTAGGCACCTTGCTAAACGCGCACAGGGGAAGACGCACCCCAGGAACCGGAGGACCACGCCAGAGGCCGCGAGAGGGAGGAGACACGCGAGTCCCTGCGGGGTGCGCACCAGGGGCCCCCCAACTCACCGCCCTCCTCGTGGACTGCAGAACTGGCCCCCACCCCACCACGCCGGGGGCGGCAGCTGGGGGACCTCGCGTTTGTGTCCGACGTCCCTTCCAGGGGAGGATCAGACGCCGGAGGACTTGGAATCTGCTTGCTCTGTGTTTTGCCAAAAAAAAAAAAAAAATTGTTTTTTACAAAGGGGAGGGGTCAGAAATGAAGGGGAGCCCCCCACCCCTCCCTGCAGCACTCGAGACTGGATCCCCAAGACCCGCCTCCCGCGGTTCCAAATCCAGAGGCTGGAAGACCCCCCTCCCCAAGCCCCCCAAACCCTGACCCCCTCGGCTGCCTCCCAGGGAGGGGCCCCCCTCCCTTAGAGAGCGCCAAGAACGTTTCTAGCGCTCCCCAATCCCCAGGTAAAGGCTACCTCAGTACGCTCACCTCCGTGATTGGAAAATCACGTCTGATACCAAAGATTCCCCCGGGCCTTGTGCTGGATTCAGGGTTCCCTCCCCTCCCCCACCCAGCCTGGTGTCCCCCCCCACCAAACGAGAGCCACAGACAGACAGACAGACAGAGAGGGAGAGAGAGAGGAGGGCAGGTCGGTGAGTGCCTTTTTCTTGAACCAAAGATGTGTATGCCGTGTCCGTGTCCTTATCGGCCACCGCTGTCCTCCAGCTTTGTAAGTGACACTCCCAGAATCTGTGGGGGCCGGGACAGCACCTTGAGAGTGGAGAGTCCCCAGGCCCGGCTTGCTGACTGACCCTGGACATGCAAACACAGACAGACAGACAGACAGACAGACACACACACACACACACACACACACACACACACACACGCACGCACGCACACACACGCACACACACGCAGGGGCCCTGGCCCTGTTCCTTTTCGGGATGATTCTGGCCCCTGGGAACCCCATTTTGGGAAACTGAGGCCCCCACACACACCCCAAAACCCCTGAACCCCTCTTCCGGATGATGGGTGACAGGGTGACATATCTTCTGAGCCCAGCAGGTCTCGGGCCCACGAAACCATTTTAATTTTATTTATTATATTTATTTTAATTTTTATTTCTTTCTTCTGTTTTTCCCGTACCCGGGACCCCCCGCCCCCCCGCCCCCCCAGCCTGCCAGGCAGGCGCTGTGCTGCTGAGCTGCATCCCGGCCACAGCTGCTTTACAATTAGGAGGAAAAAACGAACTTTTAGGGCAAAGAGACTGTTTAATGTGCCCGGTTCACAGAGAGGTCCTCATTTTGTCCTCGTGGTGCTGGAGATGGAACCCAGGACCTCAGGCTGGCAGAGCACGCGCCTGACACTCGGCCCTGTGTCCTGTCCCAAAGGGTCCTTTCCTTCCCGTCTGTCTCTTTTTCTTCCTTTCTTTTTCTGTGTATGCAGGTTTTTGTTTCTGTGTGTGCTTTCCCTTTTTGTTTTGAGACAGGGACTTGCTCTGTAATTCGGGCTGGCCTTGAACTCACTGTGTAGCCCAGCTTGGCTTTGAACTCACAGAGATCCTCCTGCCTCAGCCTCCCGAGTGCTGGGGCTCCAGGTGTGGCCACTACGCTCAGCCTATTGGGTCAGTTTCAGACATCGGTGTGCACACGCACACACACGCACACCAGCTCCATACTTTTCACCAGGCGCACACCCCCGTCCCCCACCCTGTGCTATCTGGTCCTGCAAACAAACCAAAGACCCTTCCCATGCAGGGAACCCCCCTCCAGCACAATCCCTTCAAGCCTTTGACAATTCTCTCAGAAATACCTCAAAAATATTTAATGTATAGTTTATGTGATAAAAGAAAATTCCTTAGCTAGTTTTTGGACTACGTGACTTGAAGTTTTGTACAGTTAGATTATAATTTCACGGGCCACGGTGTGTTTCTTGGACCATCCTATGGGAGACGTAGTGAATGTCAGGGCAGCCAGGCTGGCGGTCAGTGAGGGCCAGGCAGGGCGGGGATGGGGGACCAGCGGCGTTTACAGATTTCTTATTTAAACAAGTCTTTTAGGAAAGAGAGGGTGAGAGAGAGAAAGAGAGAGAGGAGAGAGGTGAACCTTTCTGTTCTCTGGCTTCTGTTTTTGTTTTTTGAGTCCTGTCTTCTAAGAGTATTTATTATTCTACGTGTTCCGTGTCCAGATGTAATTTAAGAGAAAAAAAAAAGGAAGAAAAATGAAAGAAAAAAAAAGACAAAATGGAGTTTGATTGGTGCATGGTTAATGTACTCTTTCTTGGCGATAATGTATTAAGTGGGGGCGGGGGGTGGGGGGGTCCATGTCCAATCTGCGTGCTTCAAGCCCAAGTCGGTGTTGTCCCGTGGTCTTTTGTGCTGCTCTGTGCCCATTTATCCTCTCTGAGGAGCTGTGTGTGTCCAGCAGATGACCAGGCCCCAGGTGGATGGCCAAAGGGGTCCTGGAGCAAGCCAGACCTGAGCTCCATGGGCCCCCACACCACTGCCTGCCTCTTCACAGAGCAGGGGGCGGTCACCAGGTCCCTACCCCATCTGGATGGGATGTGGGTGTCCTCACCAGCCAGGACCCTGCCCAGCTCTGTCCCCTCTCCCCCGTTGTTTTCACTTTAGCATGTATTCCTAAGTGTCTTGTTCAGAGGAGAGAGACAATCAGGCAGTTTGAGTCCCGTCGCCTGTGGGGGAGGGGGTCTGGGGTGCACCCCAACTTCCCAGATCCAAAGGGCCTTTTTGAGCGCCCTCTTGGGCCCAGCTCTACCTGGTCCTCCTCTCAGCTTCCTGGCCCTGGGTTGGACCTAAGTTAGATTTTCTGGGCGGCCCGGGAGTGGGGTGCTGTTTTTGGTAGGACACCCCCTCCTGGAGGAAAGATGTGTCCCTCCAGCCCCCCACATCAGGAAAGCAGGCCCTGGGGCTATGACTGTCCCTAGGTTTCTGTTTTACCTCTGCGGTGGCCCTGCAGGTGGGGACAGAGGTCAAGCCCAGGGGGAGTTGTGACTGCAGCTCCTGTGACCGCAGAATGACATCTTTGTGGCCTGCAGAACAGCAGGGCCTGGGGAGGCAGAGTTTGAACCCCAACGAAAGCTCCTTCTCTGCCCAAGGTGGACCCACCAGAGCCCGGCCATGGGCCCCTGCCTCATGCAGGTGGCTCCGGGGGACCCCTGAGGGTCATCACAGCAGGAACAGGTGGGGGCCTCGCAGCAGCGTTTTCAATGTAGATGGAAAAGTAGGCGGGCTTGCACGGAGGCCAAGGGGATCACCCCAGTTCTGTTCTTCCCAGGGCAGGAAGAGGAGGGGTACAGCCCGCTCCACCCCACCCTCAGGCGACAGGTTTAAAAGGGAAAACAAACAAAAAACTCATCTTTGTTAATCGTTCCTGTGCTCAGTTTGCTGTTTTGGTTTTTTCTTCAATAAATTATTTCCCAGTCAGTCAGCCGGGTGTGCGTGTGTTGCCGTGGCAGGGGCGGGGTGGGGGCGGTAACCAGGGGAGGGGGCAGAGGGCGCAGCCACCCGGAAGATGGGAGGGGAGGCCGGGAGGGAGCCCGGCCCTCTCCCAGGCCCCTGTCACCCTCGCTCAGGAAGCCCTGGGCATCAGAGGGACAAGCTGGGCCCTCTGTTGCTTCTGGAGTTTGGGGTAAAAGGTGTTTATCTGAAGAGGGAGGACTGCAGCTAGCGCCTGGAGGAGCGGGCAGAGGGGCCACAGACAGGCGGTGGGGAGCGAACAGTCCACCATGCAGACCTGCTTTCTCTCTCTGTCTCTGTGGTACTGAGATGGAACCCAGGGCACTCACATGAGCTATGCCCTTAGCTCATTTTTAAATTTTTTGTCAGGGTCTCCCGGTGTAATCCAGCCTGACCTCGAATTCACTCTGCAGCTCAGGCTGGCCTCAAACTCACAGCAACCCTCCTGTCTCAGCCTCCCAAGTGCTAGGATTATAGGAGTGTGGCTATGCCACACTTAAAAGTGGGTTGTTTTCTTTTTTTCTGTCTAAAAACTAGCAAAAAAGATTCCACGCGGCTGGCTTCCAACAAGAGGCCCAAAGTTAAGGCAGAAGCCCCAAGAAGCTGAGGTCAGGCGGATCTAGGTTTATTAGAAAAAGCATAGGGCACAGCTTCCTTGTCCTTGGCGTTGAGAGCCGGCTGTCCGGGAGGAGGTGGCATCGGGACCTCCTGGAAGTACTCAGGCAGCCACTCCATCGGGGAGGGCTCCCGCTCCAGGGACCCGGACTCGGTCTCCATGGCCTGCTCACTCAGGGAGTCCTGGGTCTGCAAGGGGGGCGCCCCACTCCCGGAGCCCTGACCCCAGGGCAGTGATGGCCTCGCCAAGGCTGGTGCCTGAGCCTCAGCCACCGACCAGGAGCGCTCTTGGGACAGCGGGGCCTCCGGAAGCGAGGGCTCCAACCACCTGCCCTGCCCGCCGGGGCCTGTCCACTGGTCCTGGCCGGCGTCCTGGGAGGTGGCCCTGGACCTGAGCTGCAGCATCGGGTTCGCCAGGAACGAGATCTTCCTGGGCTCCGGGGGCGCCGAGGGCAGCTCCTCCACCTCGGAGGGCAGGGCCGCGGAGATGTTCACGTTCGTGTCGCTGCTGTCCCTGCGCGGCCTCCGCAGGATCTTGCCCTGCGTGATGAGGTCCCCGTAGCCCTCGTAATGGGAGAAGGCGTAGCTGGAGCGCCGCACGCGGGACTGGCGCCTGAGAGGCAAGGGCTCCTCCGAGACCTCCTCGCTGGGGGGCACCTCTGCCTCCTCCTGCAGGGCAAAGGGGCCACGGGATCATCAGCCTCCCGCTGCGGGACATTTAGAGCCAGTTCTAGTTCGTTGTGGTAGAGCCAGTCTCCTCCAGGGAACTGCCTCTGAGCCAGCCAATCAAGAGCCCCTCCGAGGATCCTGCCTCTGAGCCAGCCAATCAGAGTCCCTCCTTGGAGCCTGCCTCTGAGCCAGCCAATCAGAGTCCTCACTCTTTATTCCAAAATAGCCGATGACTAGTCCCCTCTCTTACTGGACTCTGATCCAGCCAATCAGGGTGCCAACCCTCAATGGGTCAGCCAATCAGGGCCCCTCACTTGAGCCTAACTCTGAACTAGCCCTGATCTTTTCCCTTACTTTTGAGACAGGGTCTAAAATGCTAAATTGCCGAGGCTAAACTCAAACTTGTGATCATCCTGCCTCATTCTCCCAGTATATTTTGAGACAGGCTCCTGCCAAATGGCACAGACTGGCTCAAATTCACAATCCCCCTGCCTTGGCCTCTCTTGGCCTTCCTTTTTAAGGCTGAGTAATATTCCACGGGCTGGAAGGATCTCTGTAGGTACTGCCTCATCTGTCGACATGTCCAAGTCGTCTCCCCTGTGGCATAAACCATTCCAGAGTTTTTTTGTCCCCCCGTCCCCACTCCCAAAACCAGGATGATTCGAGGTGGGAATCTGATGGTGTCTGCGTGAGAACCCAGAGTTGCCCTGTTGCTTCTGCCTCAGGATGTGTGGTCCCCGCCTGGGGAGTGCGGCCTCCCTGAAAGCACCACATGTGTGTGTGTGGGGGGGGGGGGCGTGCCCAGACTCTCACCTTGAAGCGCGGCTCCTTGACCGTGTGTTGGTAGATTCGGTAGGCGAGGGTGGGCAGGATACTCACCACCACATTCAGCAGCAGCACCAGCAGCAGCGACGCCTTGGTCAGCACATTGTGGAGGGCATCTGGGGATGGAGGGAGGGGACAGCAGAGGTGGCTCCCACTGCCTCTTCCTGGGGAAGGTCCTTCCCACATCCACCTCTATCCTGTCCCGCGCCGGGGGCTCACACAGAAACGGAAATGTCTTCGGAAACAGCCGGTAAAGCCACAGGCTCTGGGTGATGTACGTCATGACAAAGTAGCAGCCCAGGCTGAGGAGCACGGTCCCCACGAACAGGAAGGTCCAGTACCTTACGATCAGCATGATCTGGGCAGGGAGGAACAGAGGTCAGCCGGGGGCAGGGACTGAGGATGGGCCTCCAGGAGGCCAGGATGCGGGAGTCAGCAGGGCACGGGGGCACAGGCCTGTCATCCTAGCGCTCGGGAGGCTGAGGCAGGAGGATGACCATGGTTTGGGGCCAGCCTGGACCACATAGTGTTCGAGGCCAGGCTGAACTACACAGTGAGATCCTGTCTCGAAGCAGCCCCAAATGAAGCTGCTGGAAAGGGGGGCCTTGAAGCCGGTCTGAGCTCCACCCCGCCCCCGGGCTGGGACCAGGCAGCCTGGCGAACCTCAATGGTGATGGTCAGCAGGCTGCTCAGGGCCACCACCACTGCAAAGGACTGGTAGTCACTGAGGCTGCTGGGCCCGGCCGTGTCGCGGATGATCCACAGAGTAAAGAAGAAGTTGACCAGGGAGGTGACCAGGCCCTGGGTGATGGCTTTGCAGAACACCCAGTAGTTGAAAAGCTCATCTTTCTGGCCAGCCACGTACAGCTCAGGCATCTGCAGGCTCTGCTTGTCGCTCACATCCTGGGCAGGGGTGTGGGGAGCTCTTGGGCCGGGGGCCAGGATAAGGCCAGAGGGACCCCGAAAGGAGACTGGACTCCCACTGGCCACTGGCCACAGGTGGTGATGGAAATGAATTAAAACCAAATGGGGTGGGCGGGGTGCGTAGCGCACACCTGTCATCACAGCACTCAGGAGGCTGAGGCAGGAGGATTCATACAAGTTTGAGGCCAGATGGGGTACATAGTGAGTTCAAGACCAGCCTGGACTGGATGGGCTGTCTTTAATCGTCCTCTCTCCATCCCCCCAAAAATGAACTGTAAAGTCCAGTTCCATGCTCAAGGGCTCCTGACTGGCCAGGGCTTCTTAATGGGCAATGTGGTGTGGACATGTCCATCACCCAGGATGTTCTCTGGACAGCCCAGTGGGGTCCCTCAGGATTGGAGGGAAAGCAGAGACCAGAGGGCTGAGGAGCAGACTGCAGGGTTAGAGGTCCCACCAAGAGAAGGAGGTGGCCCCGCGAGACAGTGGCACCCAAGCTGGAGCAGATAGGACGCAGCGGGCAGGCAGGGGCTTAGATTAGGCCACACCCACCTGGACCTTGAGCCTGGCCCAGGCAGGAGGCAGCAGAACCTGGCGCCAGACTCGGCTCACCTGCTCGAAGAGCCCCACGTAGAGGACGGGTAAGGTGCTGTAGAGCAGATTGTACAACGACAGGAACCACCCTTCATACAGTGGCTGTGCGGGGCGGACAGAGAGGGCGCTCAGAGGCCCGTGGGCAGCCGGGAGGGCTCCCCAGGGGACCAGGAGGTACTGTCACAGTTGGGGTTGTGGGCTGAGACCAGGAGTGGGTTAAGCAAAGTTTGTATAAAGATCAGTGCAAATTAAAAGAAAAATAAAAACCAGGGGGAAAGCTGGGCATGGTGTCTGCACCCCTATCATCTCAGCGCTCTGGGAGGCTGAGACAGGAGGATTGCAAAGCAATGCAAGCCGGGCCTGGAGAAACCTCATGACTGAGGAAACTGAGATGTCTCCAAGTTTTTAAACATCCCTCCTCCCCCCTCAGCCTCCTAGGATGCTGGGGTCTCAGTCTTGCAGGCTCACACTTATCTCCCCAGTTCGAGAGGAGGTTGGGGAGGGGTCCCGGAAGGCCCGGCCGGCTCCATACTCCCCGAGAAAGGGAGAGAGACCGACCGCACACCTGGGCGCTGAAGCCAGTGTAGAAGGCGAACCAGAACTGGGACGCCAGGCTGGCCATCGTCTTGTAGAAGAAATAGCGCAGGAATTTGCAGACCCGCATGTAGGACCAGCGGCCGTGCACCAGCAGCAGCCGCTGAAGGAAACAGAACTGACCGAGCGCGAAGTCGCTGTTCTGCACGGCCTGCGTCCCCTCCTGGCCCGCCAGCCCCACGCCGATGTCAGCAGCTGCAGGAGAGGCGCATGCGCGGTGAGCCCCGGGCGCCCCCCCCCCCGTGGCCCTCGCCCCGCTCCCCCCCCAGCCACCCACTCTTGATCATGTTGACGTCGTTGGCGCCATCCCCGATGGCCAGGGTTACTGCCTGCTGGTATTTCTTGACTAGCGCCACGATCAGGGCCTTCTGCTTGGGGGTCACCCGACAGCAGATGACCGCTTGGCACCCAGAGGCCAGGTCCACGAAGGCCCGCTCCCGCCGCGCCTCCGGGCTCTCTTGCTTCAGCTGGAGCTTGCTGCGCTTGGACCGGTGCGTGGCCAGCGAGGCCCCCAGGCTGGACCACATCATGGAAATCCGCCGGATGGTATTCGTCTCCGGCCTGGCCTCGTCCTCCAACTCTCCCTGGATCACAACCCGGGGCTCCTGGCGCAGGGACACCAGTAGCTGGTCCTAGCCGGGGCGGGGAGGAGGGATGGGGTCACTTCCTGTCCTCCATGCCCCCAGGCTGACGACTCCTCCGGGGACGACCCTCGGGGTCTGGCCTCTGAGTGTGGCCATCTGAGGTCCCCGGCGTCCTCCGCGATTCTCCCGGGCCCCTCCTCCACGCCAGGCCGCAAGCTGACCGCACTGACCAGGAACTCCCCGCTGACCACCATGGCCACATCGTTCTGCAGCTGGAACCTCAGGCTGCGCCTGGCGGCCCTCAGCAGTCTGCTGCGTTCCCCATGGGAGTCCAGGAAGATGCTGTGAGCGGGTGGGGAGCTGGGCTTAGCGTGGGGCCACCCAGCCCTGCCCTGTCTTCCCCTGGGCCAGCCCGGTTCGCTGTGCCTCAGTTTCCCCTTGGTGCAGGCGCTGCAGGCAAGCTGCTTACTTCACATCCCGCGCCTCCAGGATGTGCATGTTTTCCGTCAGCAGCTGACACGCAAACCCAATGTTCACAGCGGTTTCTGCAAAACACCAGCTCAGAGCCTCTGGAAAACCCGACCCACTGGCCCTCTGTGGAGGCCCACGCCCACCCCACTAGGTTCTGACCAATCACAGCCAAGTCTCCTCCCCCTGGCATTGTGATTGGTTCAAGGCTGGGTGTGTCACCCAGTCTGACCAATGACAGCCAAGTCTGAGACTGAAGCCTGGCTGCGGGCCAGCCCTGGGGAGTAATTTTGGCCCAGGATCACCTCACCTATGAGAACCCGGAAAATGTCTAAATTTCTTTTAAAATCACAAGAGAGGTTAAAAAAAAAAAAAAAAAGTAAATCCCCAGCACTTCTTATTTGGAGACAGAGTCCTATTCAGCTAAACGATTCAATTACCCAACCTGGGTTCCAACTGGAGAGCTTCCAGCCTCAGCCTCCCAAGGGGACCGGGCGGGAGGTGTCGCACCTTGCTTGTCTCCCGTGAGCACCCACACTTTAATGTTCGCCTTCTTGAGACTACTGATGGTGTCGGGGACCCCGTCCTGGAGCTTGTCCTCGATGGCTGTGACTCCCAGCAGCTGGGGGTGGGGGTGTGGAGGAGCGGCAGGAACTGAGCCGAGCTCCGAGGTCCCTGGCCCTGGGGACTGCCGGTCCCCCACGCGTCGCCCACCTGCAGGCCCTGCTCCATGTCGCTGTACACCTGCTGCAGCGCCTGCGCGCGGTCCTGCAGCTGCACGGAGGCCGCCTCGAGCCGCAGCTGCCACTGCTGGTAGACGCTCTCCTCCACCTCCTTGTAGGCCACGCACAGCGTGCGCAGGGTCTGCTCCGTGAAGGCCTGGGGGGCGGCGGGCGCTGTCACAGCCTTGCCCCCGAACCAGCCTCCTCCCCTGCAGGCACTCCCTCCAGACACCAGCTTCCCCTGGGCTCCAGGTCTTCGAGGGGACAGAAATAAGCCCCCCTGAGCCTCCGGCAGCAGATTTGATTTTTACGTTCCTTTTTCCAGATGGGGTCTCCACGTGTACTTCAGACTGGGCTCTTCAGTAACTGCCACCCTCGGGCCTCAGCCTTCCCAGGCCTGAGGTCACAGACTACAGCACCACCCCCAGCTCTGTGGAAGATCCTAACTCTCCCAGTAGCTACCCAGGACGTCTCCCTGGCGGGGCATCCCCAGCTCTGGGCTCCTCCTTCAGGGCTCCCGGAAAGGCCCAGAACCCATGCACCCTAAGAGTGGCCTGGGTGCTGATGGTCCCCAGTCAAATGCCCGCCACAGTCACCCCAGGTTGCTCCCTTCCCCTGGCGGGGGATTATGTGACAGACAGTTCTCTGGCCTTCCTTGAGCCTCAGTTTACCCCCTTGTGCTATGGGGTGGATACCATCCTGGGCTCTGGGTCTCTTTCTGAGAGACCCATGCTCTCCTCTCCTTCGGGAGGAGAAGGGAACCCTGGGGATCCCAGCAAAGCATTTGGGGAGCCTCTGGCTGGGGGCCCAGACCAAAGGGGAGAGGCTTAGGGGTGACAGAGAGCTGCAAAGGCCATGCTGGAACCCAAATCCATTGGGAGTTGGGGTGGGGTTGGGGAGCTGTCCCCCCAGACACCCAGCCCAAGCCGCCCCATCCACAGGGTGTCATATGAGTTGGAGAGACTCCTTCTCTGAGCAAGTTTGATTTGATCAGGAATTAATTCTTTTTTTGTACTGGGGATCAAATTCACAGCCTCACGCTTGCCAGGCAGGTGCTTGTGCCACTGAGCTAAGTCCCTGGCTGGGCAAGTTTGATTTGGACTTCAGTTCCCTCCCAGTCTGTGTGTGTGTGTGTGTGTGTGTGTGTGTGTGTGTGTGTGCTGGAGCAGGAAGGTGCCTTGAGCAGTGCACAGCCTGCTCAACTGTACACGGCGGCAGCCCCCAAGCTTAGCTGTGGTTAACTGCAGCCAGTTCTCTACCCATCTTTCCTGTTCCCTGCTCTCTCCTGTCCACACACTCACACGTCCATCCCCATTTTCCCAAGCCACGACTCACTGTCAAGATTTTTTCTGTGTTCGACTCCATCACGCCTTTCTTGTACAAGCGCTGGAAGATGACCGTGTCGGCCCCTTTGGTGTACAGGCAGATGGAGCCCTCTGGTGTCCGAACTGTAGGGTTGGTTGGGGGAGAGGCCTGGCTGCCCACACGTGCCCCCAGCCTCCATCCGTCCCCAGCCCAGGGCGGGGAGCCGCCCTGGCCTCACCTAGCACCGACATGCACTTCCGGTCGCTGTTGAAATCCATGAGGGCCAGGACCTCGTAGGTGCGCTCCTCCCCCAGCTCCACCACCGTGATGCTGTCCTGTGTGCGCGACAGGAACACGTAGCCGAAGTTCCGGGCCGCGGTGACCAGCGCCTCCTCGTCTGGGGATGCAGCCTGGTACAGGAGCTGGTCTGGGGGAGGTGGGGACCGTGAGGCTGGGGCTTGGTGGACATGGAGGCTGCACCCCAAAGAGAGGGCACAGAGACAGGGAGAAGGAGGGGCTACTAGTTCTTTCTTTCAGTGCCGGGGAAAGAAACGCAAGCCTCTGCTTTGGGCTCCCCAGCCGGGTCTGTTTAGTTTTCTGGGTTTTTTTTTTTTTTTTTTTTTTTTTTTTTGTCTTTTTGAGACAGGCTCTCACTCTGTAGTCCAGGCTGGCCTTGAGCTCACTTTGTAGCCCAGGCTGGTCTCAAGCTCGCAAACGACCCTCCTGCCTCAGCCTCCCGAGTGCCGGGCTTACAGGCATGAGCCACCACGCCCGGCTTGTCTAGCTTACTTTTGAGAGAGGGAATATTACTCTAGGGTTCAGGCTGGCCTCACTCATGGGTACCCTCCTGCCTCAGCCTCCAGAATGCTGATAACTGCTGACATGTGCCACACCTGGCTTTTTTCTTGTTTTTTTGAGACCCAACCTCCCTAAATTACTAAATTGCCGATGGTGGGCTGGAATTTGCAATGGGCCTGGCTCGGCCTCCCAGAGAGCTTAGAAATACTGGTTGGATCCCAGTCCCTGGGGCCTCTGGGACCCCCTCAGGGCCGTGGGTCCCCTCTGTGTGACTCCCCCTCTAGGTCACATTCCAGGAGTCCCGACGCCCCAGCCTCCACGTTCCATTGGTGACAGGCTTTCTGCGGGTCCAGGCCTGGGAGGGCCCAAGGCCCCGAGCACTCACTGTCCTTCTCCTGGACCATGACCGTGTGGCAGATGGCCAGCAGGCGCCAGAACTCCTGCACCGCCTTGTCCTGCTTGCCCAGCACTATGCGCAGCAGCTCCTCGTTGAAGAATGACAGCCTCCCGTCCGCAAACGTGTTCCACAGGTACGGGTTCTCCTGGGGGCCCAGGCAGGCACGGTCAACAGGGTCCCTGCCCATTCCACTCAGTCCAGTGTCCTGGGGCCAGCGGTGGGGCTCACCTTGGGGGGGATCCCGTCCTCGTTATCCGGACCTGGGGAGACACCACAGTTTCGGGGTTCAGCTCCAACTCAGTGTCCCGCCGCCCCCCCCCCTAATCTCAGGCTTCAGATGCTCAGACACCACCTAGGGGCAAGGTGGCTGCCATCTGTGGCTGGCATCTGGGCGGTTCTGGTCTTTGGCAAGGGGTGGCCCCTTGCTCCCCCCAGGGGTGGCTCTACCCGGGGAGCCCACCGTAGACTCGGCCGGCGATGCAGCATTTCTTGAAGCTCATGACATTCTGTGTGAGGGTCCCCGTCTTATCGGAGAACACGTAATGCACCTGGCCCAGATAGTCGTTGAGGCTGGTGCTGCGGGCCTTGGCGGGCACGTCGTGGGGCGCATGGTACATGTGCAGGTCCCAGTTGATGAACATGCTGTTCCCCAGGTAGATGAACTCCGTTCTGGAAGGCACAGCTCGGTCACGCCATGGCCAGGGCCACCGCCGGACAGGGGCCACGGTCGGGGGCCACCGCCAGCTCACATGATGAACATGGCCAGGGGGACCATGACGCTGAGCAGGATCAGGAAGGCCCAGAAGACGAGGAAGGTCTCCAGGAGTTGCCCCTGGGTGCCCGGCTCCACCGGGATGTAGTGGTGGGTGTTCTTGAGGTCGATGATCTGGAGCCAGTACCCCATGCTCAGCAGGATGGAGATGACCACTATCAACAGGAAGATCTGCGGACAGACGGAAGGGCGGAAGGATGGGTGGTCAGGGCGCCAGGTGGAGGTGTGGGAGGGCCTGGGGTGGTGCTCCAAAGCGGGGACACCCCCAGGGAAGGGAACATTGACGATGAGAAGGGCAGAGTGTTTGCTGGGCTTTTGTTTGACTGCTTTTTTGATTTTTTTTTTTTTTTTTTTTTTTTTTTTTTTTTTTTTGGCTTTCTGAGCCAGGGTCTCTACGCAGTCCAGGCTGGGCTCACTTTGTAACCTAGATCGGTCTCCAAATCGCATTGTCCTCCTGCCTCAGCCTCCCCAGTGCTGGGATGACAGCTCAGCGTTCCTTTTCTTTCATCTTTTCTTCTTTCTTTCTTTTTTGTACCACCAATGGAATTCAGAACCATGTGCTGGCCAGGCAGGCGCTGATGCCACTGAGCTGTGTCCCTGACCCCTTCCTGGTCCTTCCTCTTTGCCCTGGGATTGAACAGGCCCTGCACACTGAGCTCCACTCTCTCCTCTTTGCCCCCCCCCCTTTTTTTAGAGACAGGATCTTATTCATCACTAAGTTGGCCAGACTGGATGATAGCTGTGCACCATCACACCCAGTTTACAATAACTGTTAAACATGTTGGGAGCCTGGGGCTGGGGATTTAGCTCAGTGGCAAAGAACCTGCCAGACAAGTGCAAAATCCTGAGTTAAGAATCTAGGCACCAAAAAAAACCAAAAAAACCCAAGCAAATTAAAATGATGGAGCCTGGTGCGTGCCTGTAATCCCAGGATTTGGGAGGCTGAGGCAGGAGGATTGTGGCAAGTTGGAGACCAACCTGGGCTACAAAGTGAACTCCAAGCCTGAACTGCATAGAGAGACCCTGCCTCAAAAAAGACCAATCAATCAATCAATCAATAATAAATGTTTTTCTTCTGGCTGAAACACCTCTCTATAGGGTCCGACTGCACAGAGCTGCGAAATCCAGCCAGGGCTTCTGTCAGGAGCACAGGGACCTGGCCCTCCCCAGGCAAGGGCTTCTTCCCAGCTCACCAATATCACCAGTTTGTTCATGAAGAGGTCAATCTTGGTTCTCTTCAAGTGGATGTCTCCACAGTTCTTCATGATCTTTGTGTCAAAACCTGTAGGGATTGCATCCATATATCCTGCCGTTATTCACCCACCCATCCACCCCTCCATCCACCCACCCACCCACCCCTCCATCCCTCCACCCACCCACCCCTCCACCCACCCACCCCTCCACCCACCCATCCACCCATCCATCCACCCACCCACCCACCCACCCACCCCTCCATCCACTCCTCCACGCACCCCTCCATCCACTCCTCCACCCACCCCTCCATCCACCCGCCCATCCACCCGCCCATCCACCCACCCACCCATCCACCCCTCCACCCACCCCTCCATCCACCCACCCATCCACCCCTCCACCCACCCATCCACTCCTCCATCCACCCATCCATCCACCCACCCATCCATCCACCCATCCACCCCTCCATCCACCCGCCCATCCACCCATCCATCCACCCACCCACCCATCCACCCATCCACCCCTCCATCCACCCGCCCATCCACCCATCCATCCACCCACCCACCCATCCACCCCTCCACCCACCCCTCCATCCACCCACCCATCCACCCCTCCACCCACCCATCCACTCCTCCATCCACCCATCCATCCACCCACCCATCCATCCACCCATCCACCCCTCCATCCACCCGCCCATCCACCCATCCATCCACCCACCCACCCATCCACCCATCCACCCCTCCATCCACCCGCCCATCCACCCATCCATCCACCCACCCACCCATCCACTCCTCCATCCACCCACCCCTCCCTCCACCCACCCCTCCACTCCTCCACCCACCCCTCCATCCACCCACCCACCCACCCCTCCATCCACCCCTCCACCCACCCCTCCACCCACCCACCCCTCCACCCACCCCTCCCTCCACTCCTCCACCCACCCATCCACCCCTCCACCCGCCCCTCCACCCCTCCCTCCATGCATCCCCTTATTAAATCTGCCCATCTTTTCATCTAACATAAAATCATAGTCCCGGTTCAGCTCGTCCATTTTACTTTTTTTTTTTTTTGGCAGTGCCGGGGACTGAACTCATGAGCTCGGGCTTGCCAGGCAAGCGCTGAGGCCACTAAGCTAAATTCCCAGCCCAGCTCCTTCATTTTTGGGCAGAGGCAGAAGCAGTAAAGTCACGGGGGCCCGGGATGCTCAGGCCCCTGAAGCCCCGCCCCGCCGTACCCGCGTAGATGACCAGCCCGTAGCAGGCGTCCGTGTTGCGGACCCTGGAGCCCCGCAGGAGGACGTTGCTGATGTCCAGGCCGTACTGCCTGCCTTTCCAGTCCAGGCTTCCCACGAACTGGTGCATCCGGCTGTTGGGCTGCTCGCACATCACCGTGCCTGTGGCGGGTTGGTGGTCACAACTCCTACCTCCGAGTCGCCCTCCCCGACCGACTGGGGAGCATCCTACCACCCCGGCTTTTGTCAGTTCCTTTAGGCCCCTCCTGGACAGGCCCGAGGCAGAGCAGGCACCAGGTGCTCAGCAGTGTCTGAGGGCGGGGTGCCCGCTAGAGGGAGCTCATCCAGCACCTGCTCTTAAGGGGTACTGAGCCCCTCCACAGCCCCATCATCCACAGTCACACAGCAGACAGGTTCCAGCAAACACTGGTCCAGGGAGTGGCCAGTGGGAGTTCAAATAACAACGGTGTGTGGGCTGGGACCCCGGCAGAGAAAAGGCTGTGGGGGATGTCACTCCATCCATCATTGAACCACCCTTTCGTCACTAACCACTCACACAGCCTTATTTACCAGCTACCAATCCATCCGTCCACCCATCCACTAGTGACTCCACCATCCATCTGCTTATCTATCTGTCAACACCCACCCACCCACCCATTCATTTACATACCCACTCATCTATCTGCTGTCTGTCCACCCAATCATCCACCCCATCCACCCACCCACCATCCATCCATATATCCACTTACCTATCCATTATCTAGCTTTCCATACACCCACTCACCCATCCATACATTCACCCATCTACCCTTTCAACCATCCATCCACCCATCCATTCATCTATCCATCCACCCACTAATCCATCCATTCATCCATCCATCCATCCATCCATCCATCTATCCATCCACCCATCCATCCACCCATTCATCAGTCCATTCACCCATCCATCCACCTACCCATTCATCCACCCATCCACCCTTTCATCCCTCCAGCCAGCCATCCATTCATTCATCCATCCACCTATCCATCCATCCACCCATCCATCCATCCACTCATCAATCCATCCACCCATTCATCCATCCATCCACCTATCTACTCTTTCATCCATACATACACCCATCCATTCATCCATTCATCCAGGCAGCCATCTATCCACCCATCCATCCACTCACTCATCAGTCAATTCACCCATCCATCCACCCATCCATCCATCCACCCACCCATCCACCCATCCATCCACCCATCCATCCATCCACCTATCCATCCTGCATCCACCCATCCATCCACCCATCCATCCACTCACCCTTTCATCCATTCAGCCATCCATCCACCCCTCCATCCACCCATCCATCCATCCATCCACCTATCTATCCATCCATCCACTCATCAATCCATTCACCCATCCATCCACCCACCCATCCATACATCCACCCATCCATCCACCTACCCATTCATCCACCCATCCACCCTTTTATCCATCCAGCCATCCATCCATTCGTTCATCCATCCACCTATCCATCCATCCCCCCACCTACCCCATCCATCCACCCACATCCATATACCCTCACTGACCACTAACCTGCGCTGCTGTTTGCTGGCCCACTTCATATACCCACATATTACTGCAGAGAAACTCTGTATGTAAACCAATGAGAGCAACTTGGTCTCATGATAAAAAACCAAAACCAAAACCAAAACCAAAACCTAAACAACAACAAAAAACCCATTATGCCAAGAAAACATAAAATTACCCAACTTTTGTTGCATTTCTGTTACTGGGGTTGAACCCAAGGCATCAACATGGAGCTCCATCCCCAGCCCGTTTTAAAGGGTTTTTTTTTTTTTTTTTTCCATCTTAAAACAAGGTCTGGGGACTGGGAGTTTAGCTCAGCGGCACAAATGTCTGCCTGGCAAGTGTGTGGTCATGAGTTTGATCCCTGGCACCAAAAGACATGCCAAGGTCTCACTAAGTCCAGACTCAGCTCAAATTTGCAGTCCTCCTGCTTGGGCACTGTGGACCACCATGCCCAGCTGCAAATCCCCCAACTTTTACACTCAGGTCAGGGGCAGGAAACGGGTCGGGCCAGGTGGGCCTGTTAGAACCTTCTGGACCCCAAAGGCTGGCGAGTTCATGGGAAGGAAGCCGATTCAGTGAGGAGCCAGTGGGCCGGGCACCCAAGTCTCTACCAGTCACTTCCTGGGCCACCACCCATGGGGTGGCCTCACGCCTTCACAGAGGGACAGACACAGGTGCTGGGACGCACAGGTCCCCGGGTGAACTCAGTGGCCCTTACCGTTGAAGGCCGCCATTGTCTTTGAACAGACCAGCTCATGGTGGGTGACGGCCAGGGCCTGTCTGAACTTCAAGTTGGTTTCCCTGGTGACCCGAGGACAAAGGAGGGCAGTTAAGAAGGCGGCACCCTGTGATTCCCTGGGAGCCGAGCCACGCCTGGTCCTGGGTTTTTGCTTAGCACCTACCATGCACCAGCTGTCGCCAGATGGCTGAGGCCCAGAGTGGAAGCGGGCCGTGCCGACGGCCACACAGCACATGGCCCTAGCCACACCCCACCCCAGGCTTTTCTCATTCTCTTGAGACAGAGTTTTGCTAAGTTGTCCAGGTCCCACTTGAAATTAAGGCCCTCCTGCCTCAGCCTCCCAGAGTGCTGGGATGACAGGCGTGCGGCGCCACCAGGCCTGGCTCCTCTGCCTTTCTTCTTATGCCCTGCGCTGGCTTGGTAGCTTGTCATTCGTAGCCGGGACAGGGGCTCCCCCTGGCCTGGCACCCAATACCCCGAGCCCCGCCAGGCCGAAGCTTCGTACCCATCAATGTCGGCCGTCTCCAGGTAGCACAAGCTGCTGGGCTCCGTGCTGGCCAGCAAGAGCAGGTCGGCCTGGATGGACGCGGACGGCAGAGGTGAGGGAATGGCAGAGGGCGGAGGCAGGCGGGGTAGGGAGAGCCCAGCCTGGTCAGGGGTGCCCGGGCCGGCCTCGGCTCACCGGGACGATGCTGTCTCTGGTGACACACACAATGTCCCCAACGCACAGGTCTTTCCACTTCCGCCACTTGAAACTGCAGGAGGAAAGGTGTAAGGAGGGGGCGGGGCTGGGGCCTCGGAGGGGCGGGGCGGGGGCCTGGGAGGGGCGGGGCATGGACCCTGGTGAGGACCCGCCCACCCCTCCAGGCCTTGGCTTCTGCCAGGCTCAGCCCAGCAGCCCAGCCCGGTTTTGCACTTCCCAGTACCTCACCCCAGGGTCCAATGTCCTGTCTGTGACCCCAAGGATCCCCCATGCCAGTACTTCCAGCCTCCCCACCCACCCGTGACTGAGCTCTACACTCCTCGAGCCTCTCTGTCCCCACCCCAGGCCTGGAAGACCGTGGGCACCTAATGAACGCAGGCCATTCTGCAGTCACTACTGCCCCCGCCAGCCTCTGTGTCCCCAGATGTCCCTGCACGGCTGTCCCTGGCCTCACCTCTTCCTGATGAGCTTCTGGCAGGGCCGGTTGTTAATGACATTGTCACTCCTGTGTCGTCCCTGAACCCCGAGGGTGGCGTTAGAAGTAGTCTTGTGTCCCTCGTCCCCACATTGTCCCCACCCTGACCACAGCAAGGAGTCCTCACCGGCTGACCCCAGGGTGTCTGTCCAGGGACCCCAAAACCCAGAGGTCACTTAAAATCAGCAGCTCAGGAGCTGGGGATTTAGCTCAGCGGCATAAGCACCTGCCTTGCAAGCAGGCGGTCATGAGTTTGATCCCCCGTACCGATAAAAAGTTTAAAAAAAAAATCAGCAGCCCACAGAGCCAGAGGACACCAGGGTGCAGGACTCGGGGACAGCCAGAGCCACCTCCTCAGGCCCGCGGCCCCCAGAGGCTTGGCCACAGAACCCACTCACAATATCATCCATCAGATCACGGGTGGCCCGGATGAAGAGGAGACAGAGGAGCGGGAGCAAGATGGAGATCCATGGCAGCGTGGCAATTTCGGGGATGGTCTGCAGGGACAGGGGTCACAGTGACCCCTCCCTGCTGCATCCCCAGTCCTGTAGGCCAGCCTCGCACCGCCCACAACCGCCTGGTGGCCTTGCCTCCCGCTAGCTAGCCTGACATGGGCGGGAGGAAGTGGCCAGGTCCGAAGTTTACTGCCGCCAGGGTGGGCAGGGAGGCTTCTGGAGGAGGCGGTGGGCCGGGGTGGGGGAGGGGAGGCCCAGGCCCAGGCCCTGCTGAGGCCCGGCCCACCTGAAGGATGACAATCAGGAGGAAGTAGAGGTTGGACACACGGTGGAACTGCTCGTACAGGTTGAGGGGCAGGAAGGAGAAGACGTTGTACTTGGCCGTGTGGATTCTGTTGGTCTGGAATCAGAGCGGCAGGGTGGGACGGGCGTCAGGGCCACGCACGCAGGTGCAGGGCCACCAGTCTGGCAAGGCATTGCTGGGAGCGGCCAGGGGCCATTCTGGGCTCAGCCATGGAGCATGTGATAAACACAGGCTTCAAGCCAGCACTGGTGGATGCCCTGCTGGAAGGCAGGGCCTCAGGGCCAGAATTCCCGGAGCCCAGAGCCTGTATGACTGGAGGCCTCCTGGTGACACAGAGCCACGGGGCTTGGACCCTAGGATTTCCCAAGAGGAAGCCCCCAAGGGAGGTCGTGTAGAGCTGGGATGGATTTACGGGCCCTCAGGGACAGTGCATTTTGGACTCTCAGAGTGTGCTGGGCAGTGCCAAGGAAAGGCGGCACCACGAGCAGGGATTTGGTAAGAAGGGACTCCATAGTCAAGCACAGTGCTGCCTGCCTGTCATCCCAGGATCGGGAGGCTGAGGTAGGAGGGTCGCCAACCTGGTCTACAGAAGGAGACCCTGTCTCAGAAAAGGGGGCGATGCGGTGTGGTGCCTGTGATGAGAAGCCTGAGCCAAGGCGAGCCCCGGGCAGAACTCAGGATGCACAAACTCAAGCTGGGAGACTGGATTGCGGGGCACCGTGGGGCCCACCTGGTATTTCCGCCTGCGCCAGCACAGGAAGCCCTTCTCCAGGAACTGCTCGTGGAAAGCCGCGTTGTTGGCCCTCACCTCCCAGGTGAACGCTGTGGCGAGATGGGGGTGTCACCGTAGCCCTGGGTGAGGACAAACAGCCTAACAACGCCCTGGAGGAGGACTAATGGGCCCCCCGGGACCCTGGCACTGGGGATCCCTAGCCCACGATGTTAGGGAGCTCGTAAACAAACCAAAGGCCCTGCTGGGGGTCCTGGCCGGCCTGCACAGTAGGTGCATGTGGATCCCAAGAGGGGTCCCTGCCTCCTTAAGACCCTGGAGAACCACAAATACCCATTTCGCTTACAGATGGGGTAAACTGAGGCCTGGTGATGGCCTCCCAGCACCTAAGGCCGCACACTCACCAAATCCGGTCTTATCGTTTGTGGATAAGTCACGCAAGCGTGTGTGTGATGGGAGTTCCCCACCCCATCCCCCCTTCCTTCTGTCCATGCCCTCCTCAGCCCGGCATGTACCTGTGTCCTTGTCGTCCTGCAGGTCTTCTTCAGGGGTAGCCCTGCCCATGCTGGCAGAGCTGTCAGAGAGAGGGGTCCAAGGTCAAGGCAATGCCCATGGCCCCAGGCTGTGCTGGATGCTGCCCTTAAGGAACCCAGAGCCTAGGGGGTCCCTCCTCTAAAATGTTACCTTCCAGGGTGGTTCACCACCCTGTGGCCAGATCCTCCCCTTGCCTCTCAGTTTAGCATGAAATTAGGTGTTCAATTCATGTTTGTTGACTGACCAAATGAAGCCCAGGCTTATATATTATAGCTCAGAGCAGTCTGTGTGAGTCCAACCTCTAGGGACTGCTTAGAGTCACTCTGCTGGGGTGCTCAGTGGTCACTGGGAAGTGGAAATAGACTGGAACCTCCCGAAGAGCCAGGAACCTTATCACTAACAAACTTAGGAATCCAGGTCTGGTTTTACACCCAGGGGTCTGGTGCAGTTACAGGACAAGCAGGAGGCCCGGCAGCTCTCCGGACGCCCTCCCCCACTCTGCCTCCAGCCCTCGGCGGCCCCTCCTCGCCAGGCCCCGCTGCAGAGCCCTCTGGTCCTCACCCCTCCGGTCTCACTTCATACTGCCCAGAACGTCCTGGCTGGTTCCTGCGTCTCCTCCGGGGCTCCCCTCTGCCCGGGGAGTCCCCCATCCCGCTCTGATCGCCTCTCTTCTACTTCTCTGCCTGTCCCGGTTGCCTGCTAAGTACCCCAACCTCTCCAGGGGACAGAGACTGAGTCATGGGTATCCCTAGGGCCCTGTTGTGCAGGGCCAGCTGGGGTGCTTCAGAGGAGGGAAAGCGAGGCTGCGGTGCAGGGTAGGGTGGGTGGGGTGGGCAGGCGTAGGTGGGGGGGCCATGGCACCTGGTGGGGAGGCGCTCAGGTTGCCAGAATCCCCCAGTGCATCTGGATGCAGAAACACACAGGCCTCGCTGACCCTGCACCCCACTCTCAGCTCACTAGACACCCCATTAACCAGAAGCTGGAATCTCCCCCAGGAGCAGCTGCGCAGGGTCGATGCCCAGAGCGCAGCCCGGGCCTCCCTGAAGCAGAGACCCTGGCGCAAGGGGTCTCGAGCTCTCTCTCTGCGCCTCCTCTAGAGGGCGCCCTCTTCGCCGCCGCTGCATCCCCAGCCCGCAGGCCCGGGACGAGGGGGCGGGGCGGGACCCAGAGAGGGTGAGCCAGAGCCCCGGGATGCAAAGCTTTGGGAGTGCCTGGAGCTCACCTGCGCCGTCCTGCGGGTGGTGGAGCTGTTAGTCCGGAGCCAAACGGCCTGGAACGCGGGGGGAGAGGGGTGGGTCATCGACGGGCGGGGCCAGGTTTCATGGGCGGGGCTTCACTGAGGGGCGGGGCTTCGAAGGGCAGGGGCCAGACCCGGGGGCGGGACCTTCAGATGATGGGCGTCATAGGGCGGGACCAGAACAGAAGGCGTGGTCTGGGAGGGCCAATAAAGTTTCGGGACTTGGAGAAAGGCAGGGCCTTGCAGGATGTGGGTGGGGCTTAAGAATCGGCCAGGTTGGCCAGTTCGCGAGGGTTAGGTTCAGGGGTGGGGGCCTGAGGTCACTCAAGTCCTGAGCCCCAGGCGGGACCAAGCGGCTTCAGGTCCCTGTTTGGTATTGCGTGGGAGGCGCTGTCTGTAGTGCGGGAGCTACAAAGTCTTCTGAGTTTTTTTTGTACCGGGGCTATAACTCAGGACCTTGCACTTGCCAGGCAGGCGCTGATGCTGTTGAGCTGTCCACCCGGGTAGGGAGGCGCTTGAGCCGCCTTTGTGCCTCGCCCACGTCCAGCGCCGGGCTCCCCTCCTCTGTCCGGGCCCCACGCAACGGACCAGGGTGCCGGTGTCCGACTCTGTCCCTAGGTTGCGCACCCTGTCACCCACAGCTCTCTGCCGGTGGTAAGGAAGCCGCTGAACCCTGACAGCCCACCCCATCTGAGCGCTGACCCGGGGCTCCCGCAGACTGATCTGCGAAGTGAGCCTGGGCTGCAGGCCTCCAGACCCCTGGGGTAGGGGTAGAGAAGCTTCTTCTCGTCCATTTATTCACTAGGCGAACACTTCTGCAGCACCTACCCAGCCCAGTTGGGGGCTGCTTGGTTAAGATGTCCTTCAGAAATTGGGTCGACCTTGGGCTGGGGATTTAGCTCAGCGGCATAAGTGTCTGCCTTGCAAGCATGTGGTCGTGAGTTGGATCCCTGGTACCAATTAAAAAATAAGTAAAAAATAAAAAAAATTGGGTCGACCTGTGAGAACTATTTCTCCCTCCTCGCCTTCAACAAAGGGCCATCACAGTTGGGCATGCAGCCTTCCCAAGCAGGGGACAGGCTGTGCAAAGGTCCTGAGGTACCCACTGCAGACAGCAGTACAGCAATACATGGAAGTTCCCTGAGGTTTGGGGGGCCTTGGTCAGGGGTACCCCAAGCTGGAGACAGACATCAAATATAAAACACTGGCACCATTTATTTGTCTTGTGGGGGGAAGAGTGCCTGCCAGCTTGGTCACAGGAGCAGCCCAAGGGGCAGAGACGGGCCAGGCATGTGCCACTGTTGCCCCAAATGCCCAGGGATTTGGGGAGATCCTAGACCACAAAGGCCCCGTTTCCCCTGCAGCCTAATGAGGGCAGTCCCTGTGTGCTGCGCATCCCAACTCCAATCCTGCCCAGCCCTGGGGCCAAGGGTCCCTCTTCATCTGCTTCTGTCACCAAAGAGCCCAGTCAACCTCAAATTCATGGTGACTGGGGGGCCCACTGCCACTCGGAAGCCACATTTCACAAGAGGAGTGGGCTCAGGCCCAGCCCTGTGGACTGGGGTGCGCACTGCGGAAGTCAGAGGTTCCCGGGCAGCCCCTCCCCCAGCCACAGCTGCAGCCCTGGCCCTGCAGGGGTCCCCACAAGCTCCAGACCAGGCCTCCCTGGCTCTGGGCTGCTTCAGGACACTTCTGAGAGCTAAACCCAGTGCCTCAGCAATCCTGGCCTTGGCCACAGGGGTGGTGACAGTGGTCCTAAGGGGCGCATGCAGAGGCCTCATGGGGTGGCACCCACAGCACCACAAGCAGCAAATCTAAAATTCATACAAACGTTTATTCCGTCCCTGCCCAGGGCCGTGGGAAGGGGCAGAGAGAGCCCAGGGGTGGGGGTCCTGTGGGAAGACACTGTCCCCGGACGTCTGGAAGGCAGGCCCTGGGCCAGGCTGGCTTGCTTCTTGGAGGTCATGGAAGTTGGTGGCCAGGAGGAGGCTGGGGAGGCCGTCACCCCAGGCAGACAGGACTGCCAGGAGGCAGAGCCACTGCCCCACCTGGGTCTGGCTCATGGCCACACCCGTCCCCAAGGAGGAGAGCAGCACCAGGGCCTCACTCCAGGGTGGGGACGGTCACTGCGCAAGTCAACAGGTTTAAATTAAAAAATAATAAAAATAATACAAAACAAAAAAGGAAAACAGGACAACCCCTGTCTCAAACAGGCCCACCGCGCCACCCTGCCCCAAGCAGGGCACAGGGGAGTGGGGGGGGCAGGGCTGGCCAGCCGCGCAGCGTCCGTCCCGCCGGGCCGCCTGTCCCTCGTCCGGGGGGCGGCCAGGCGCACAGCTTAGCTCTCAGATTTATTGCACTGTTTTGGAAGAGGCCTGGGGCTGGAGGGGGCGGTGCGGGGCGGGCGAGGCGGTGGCGTCATCGCTTGGTCTTGGCGTCCTCCCGAATCTTCCAGATCACCAGGTGCATGCAGGCGCTGGCATCCTCGCTGGAGCTGTGCCCATCCACTGCGGGACAGGGCCAGGGCCAGGGCCAGGGTCAGGGCTGGCGGGTGAGCCGGGCGGGTGGGGCAGGGGGCAGGGCGGGCGGGGCGGCGCTCACCGTTGTCCTGGATGATCTGTCTGAGGTAGTCGGCCATGAGGTTCCGGAGGGAGCGCTTGTAGGGGAGGCCCAGGCGGTGTGGGAACAGCACAGCCGTGTCCACCACAGTGCTGTGGATGACCTTCAGGGCCAGCAGGTCGCTCTCCAGGCTGTGCCCGATGAGGATGGTGTCAGCGCTGAACATGCTGAGCAGGACAGCCTGCACATCCCGTAGCGTGATGCTCGTGTCCACGAGGTCGGCCTCTGTGACCCCGGAGAACCTGCGGGGAGACGGGCTGAGCACGTGGCAGCACCCAGCGAGTGGACAGGCAGTGGGGCACGCGTGCCAGGGCCACACCTGGTGTTGTAGTCCACGATCTCGTTCTCAGGCTTGACGAAAGTGTCGTATACCACCTGCATGTCCGTGTCCACCACTGTGACGCGGGTCAGCTCCAGGCCATAGGTGGTGTAGGACTGCGGACCGAGGGAGGGGCTCAGCCGGGGACCGGCCCCCTGGGCATTGCAGGCCAGCGCCGTGCAGCCCTGTGACCCCCAGCCCCCGAGGAGCGGAGGCAGGGGCTGGGCAGGGCCACCGGGCTCCAGTGGTGGCGTGAGCTGAAGCTCCCCAAGTGCTCAGCCGGGTGGGCAGTGCCTGCTCAGGGACACGGCTGTGCCCGGAGTTCACTCCCTGGGCTGGCACCACCCCCAACCCCACGCCTCAGGCCAGGCCTCACCATCTCACAGTCCAGGGCGTAGATCCCCGCGTGGGTGTCCCCCGCAAGCTCCTTTTCGAAAGTCCGCACGAAGCCCTCAAGGTTCTCCTTCCGGCCATCCTGCACATGTTGCTGGGGGGCGTGGGGACCTCAGGACAGGGCCAGCATGCCAGGTGTGGTGCTGGGGGCCAGGCCGAGTTCCAGTGCCCCCTCTGGCCCATTCAAAGACAGAAACCCAAGGGTTTGGGGCCCCAAAACCCACCGACAGTGGCCCTGGGCTGGGCAAGACAGGGACCAGATTTGTTGCACAGATGTTACCTGGGGGCCTACTGGGAGGCCAGGGCTGGACAGGCACGGAGGCTACGAGTGGACAGCTCTGCCTGGTGCCCAGCTGGGGAAGTACGGACTGGGCACGGGACATAACTCACCTTTGCCACCTGACAGCCCACGGAGCCCACAGCAGCCGAGCAGCACATGTACTGGGTCTCCCAGCCCCCGGCCACTGCAGAAGCACCACGGTCAGGGGCCGCCCTGGGGCCCGGCTGCACCCTCTGTCCCGACAGCTGCCGGGTTCCCGTTCTCTCCCAGGGCACAGCGGAGCTGGGAGAGGTCTGGGGACCTGGGCTCCCTGAGCAAGGTCACGGGGGAGGGCACTTAGCAATGAGGAGGAGCCGCAGCCAGGCCTCACCCCGGTTCCGGCGCAGCCGCCCCCAGTGGTAGGAGCACTCCTCGTCGCGCAGGCAGCGGCCGGAGGAGGACACGAGGTACTCAGAGCCGCAGCGGCAGCAGATTCTGCAGGAGGCTGCGGGGTGGGGCAGGCGGTGAGGGGCTGTGGGCGCCCAGCACAGCCCAGCGTGCCCCCCAGGCAGCACCGGAGACTCACGGTCCTTGGGCTTCTTCTCCTCGGAGGTGAAGATGATGGCACCCCCAGGCCGCTCGGGGTGCGGGAAGGGGTAGCCATTCTCCTTGAGCTGCTCTGGGGTGAGCAGGTAGTCCCTGAGGCGGCTGTACAGGGTGGCCCCTGCGGACAGCGGGTGTCAGTCTCCCCAGCCCAGCAGGGAGGGACCAGGCAGGACAGGGTGAGCCCCAGGGCTCGGGGTCCGCAGCTGCGCACCTTTCAGGGCTTCCACCCGGGGGCTGCTGGGCCGGCTGAGCGAGAAGCTGGTCTTGGCGGCTAACTTGCCCCCCAGCACCACCTCATGGGACACGACCCTTCGGCCGCTGGGCTCTGGGGAGGGCAGCAGCGGTCAGCCGGGGCCCCCGCAGCCCGGCCAGGCGGGGTGCAGCCCTGGATGCAGCAGTCCGTGCTGTGAGGCCTGCTCCCCCGGCTCCCCGCGGGGTGCAAGGCAGGGCTGCTGCACTGCTGTCCATGGCTTCCGGGAGCCCCCATGGTGACGCTGTGCACCACCCGGATGCTTAACTGGCCCCTGGGAAGGTGGCCGGGAGCCCCGCACAGCCTGTCCGGCTCTGCAGAGGCCACGAGCTAGCCCAGGATCAGGGGACCCCCGCCCTGGGCGCACCGCACTCACTGCTGAGGCTGGGCACGGCGCTGGGTACCAGGCCCCTCAACTTCTTGAGGGTGTTCACGGCCACATTCAGGTAGATGTTCTTGCTGGGGCTGCGGTCGTAGGCCACCTTCTCCTCGTTCAGTGCCTGGGGGGACATGGCTGTCACACTCCACCCCGGGCCCTGCGGCCGCCCCCAACCCGGTGCCCACCTTCTCAATGGCCTCCTGGCTGGACGGGCAGAAGCGGAGGCACTCCTCGATGAACAGGTTGAGATAGCGCTGGCGGATGGCCGTGGGGACCTTGCCCCCGAACTCCTTCGGGATAATGGGCTTCTTCAGACTCTAGCGGAAACGGGGAGGGGGGGGGGCAGCAGGTGAGGCTCGAGGGCCCGCAGCCTCTCAGGATACACACTGCACCAGGAACAGGGGAACTGAGAGCCAAGGCCAGCGGGGACTCCTGCACTGTACCCCAACTTCCATAACCCTGATGTCCGCAACAGCAGTCCGCCAGGGCTGAGGCACCGCCCAGTGGGGTAGTGGAACAGGGTCCCTGGCACCGCCGAGCCACCCCTGCCATCCTACCCGTGAACCCGAGGCAGGATGGGGCACAACACAAGCCCAGCCACTCAGCAAGAGGCGTCCCAAAACAAAAAATAAGAGAGGGCCCAGCACATGCTGGTCCCCAGCTATACGGCCCCCCCCAACAAACAAGCCCGCTGGGCCCCACCTGCAGAGACGGGCTGTGGGCGACGCGCTTCGGGGTGGTGGTGGTGGTGGTCTTGGACGCCATTCCCGACAGCGTGCGGGTCTTCAGCGGCTGGCTGCCGGGCTCGGGGCCGTGGGGCGCCTGGCTGCTGCTGGCCGAGAGGGTCCGCTTGGCACCTGTGGGGGCTGGCGTGGGACAGGGGCTGTGAGCGCAGGAGGACAGGATGCCCATCACCGAGCTGCGGAGCACCAGGTAGCTGCGGTCGTTGAGGGATAGCAGGACGTGCATCTCGGGGCGCGGGGGGAGCGGCCGGGGCGTGGGGTGCGGGCTGTGGAAGGACATTAGGCTCTAGCTGCGTCCGGGCAGGCCCATCGAGGCGGGGGAATGACGGTCAGCTGCGCAGGCCGGCTCGGGCGACGTCGCCGTCGGGGTGGTCTGGCGTGTGGCGAGGGCGGGCAGGGCCTCTGCCACATGTTCCGGCCCCTGACTCCGAGGCATTGACGTCTGAGGGGAAGGCCCTGACTCCTGGGCAAAGCAGCGCAGGGACGGGACGCCCGGCCAGGTCACTGTGACAGCCTCTGTGTTCTGCCTGTCCCTTTGATGAGGTCACAAAGCCCAGTCCTCCCAGCGTCCTGAGCCGGGGGAGGTAGCCCTGGCCATACTGGTCAGGGATCCCAGGACTCGGGGAGGCTGAGGCAAAAGGATCAAAGGTTCAAACCCAGCCTGGCAATCTAGCAATTCAGAATGCCCAATGACCTTGGCCTCCATCTCTCCTTGTCTCTTGCTGGGTGCGCCTATAATCCTGGCTCTCAGCACTGAGGCTGAGGCAGGAGGATCACTGGAGTCCAAGGTCAGCTTAGCTACACAATGTGAGACCTTGTCTCAAGAAACCAAGGCAATAAACAAAACAACAAAAAGAGAGATAGATCTTGTCTCAAAAATAATTCTTGTTGGGTGTGATGGCACACTCCTATAATCCCAGCTCTCAGCAGGCTGAAGGAGGCGGATCATTGGAGACCAGTCTGGGCTGCAGAGTGAGCCCAAGGCCAGCCTGAACCAAAAACAGTGAGACCCTCTCTCAAAAAGACAAAAAAGGAAAGAAATCTTAAAGGCTTTAAATGTAGCTCAATGCAAAGGTTCTGGATTAACTCCCAGTACCACACAAAGAAGCCAGCCTCGGGGGCACACGCCTGGGAACTCAGCGCCAGGGAGCTGGTGGGGGGGGGGGTCGCTACATCTGTGAGGCCAGCCTGAACTACAGTGAGACCTCGTGTCGAAAACAAAACAAGCAAACCCCAGTGTCCACACACGATGCCTTTAGAGGGCACAGCTGTCAGCAGGCAAAACCACACCTAGGCCCGGTAGCAGACGACATGGTGGCCCAGGCTCAGGGCCAGACCTGCAAGGACCCGCTCAGTACAGTCAGGGTGAGTCCACTGCACACACAGGCAAGCCGAGGGCCCTGCACGGCTCCCAAGGCCGACCGGCTGTGCAGGGCAGCTGCCCAGTGACCTTGGGCTCCTGCTCCTTGTACTAAACTAGAAATATGCCGGGAACCCCCACCCGCAGGGGCTGTGGACTAGGGGGACTTACCCGTGGCCAGGCGGGGGTTGGGCACGTGGGCAATCCTCCTCTTCTCCCCGGGGGCGGAGATGTGGACAGAGGCGACCTTCTCTGGCTGTAGTGGGGCAGCCTGCAGCCAGCTGGCTGACTCCCTCTGTGCCTGCTGGGCCCGCCGATAGCACACTTCCTGGGCTGTTGGGAGCCGGGCTGGGGGTGTCGCCGGGCCCCTCCGGGGGGGCTCCACCTGGATGAGCACAAGTCTTGGGACCTGGCCCCATGCCTGGGGCACCCAGGGCTGATAGCCCTGCAGAGGAGGGCATCGAGGTGACAGGGGCTCCTGGGCTGTGCATGTCACCCCCCTAGCCACACCGAGAGCTTCTGGCCTGCACGGCAGGAACCAGCACAAGGCCATGGCCAGCACCTCAGGCCGCCCGGGCTGGAGCATCCACAGGCCTGCTCCACAGCTCCAGGCTCCCTGGGTGCTCAGGCCCGGCTGGATACAGTGGCAGGGTGGGGAGGCAGTCACAGAGCCTCCCTAACCCCAGGCTGCGCCTGGCCCAATCCCAGAAGCCTGGCCCCTCCTCCCCCTCCTCCTCTTCCTCCTCCTCCGCCTCCGGAAGGAAGGTGTGGAGGCCAAGTGGGTCTGCACTCAGGCAGCCAAACCTGGAGCTGGTTCTCTGCCTCTGCCCTTGCCAGTGCCAGCCCGCCACCCCACAGCTGCAGCCCACGCAGCCCACAGGGCGGGCGGGCCCCACTCCCCCACAGGACCTGGGTGGCGCAGGACACCAGGTCACCAAAGGAGTCCACCCCACGGGGCGGACAGTGCCTGGGCTGCACTCCGGTCTCACCTCCTTGCCTTGCTTGACGAGATGCGAGATCCTCCTCCGCTGCCCTGGGAACAGGGTGGTCAGGCCCGCCTGGCCCTTCTCCTCACCCGCGCTGTCCTTGGGGGGCTGAAACACACGCCAGCTCAGCACACAGCCCTCCGCGGCCCGAGCCACCCTCCTGTGCGTGGAGGGGGACCCTGCAGACCCGAGTCACAGATGGGCCAACCATCCGGCCAACCGGAGCCCTGCAGCCCAAGGTCCCAGCGCCAGCCTGGCCTGGCCCTGGGCCACCTCCCAGGCCTGAGGAGCTGCGAATCCTGCCAGCAGGCCGGCCCCACCTCTCCTGCACCCAGCCTGGGCAAGAGATAACTCCAGACAGGACAAGGGAGGCCAGATCTGGAGGGAACAGGCCGAGTCTAGTTCCACTCAGGGCGAGCTCCCTCTGGTGGCTGATGTGGGGACACGGGAAAGGGAGCCCCAGGTGGGAGCCGGATGGCCTGAGCAGGCCAGGGCTCAGGGAGCAGAGACAGGGGCCAGCAGGGGCAAGGTGGGGAAAAAGGGAGAGAAGAGCAGAGCAGGGAGGAGCGGGAGGGGGCGGGGCCCGGTACCCCTTGGCCGGTCAGTCTGCAAGTCAGTCGACACGCTGGCTGCCTCGGGACCCAGCAGGGAGGGCCGTGAGCCCCCATCCTCTTTCTGGACAGGGTGCGGGGGGCAGCAGGGGGCCACCAAGGGCTCCTGAGTTTTAAAGGAGTTAACAGGCCATCGCTGAAGGCACAGCTTCCACCTGCGGCCGTGGCTTGAGGAATCCGGAAACGGCTGCAGAACGGAACGTCCCCGGGCCAGGGCCACTGCCACAGCCCAGGGCAGCAGGGCTAGCACTGGACCCCACGGCCGTGACTGCCTGGTGGCCCTCACCTGCCGTGCCAGCCGGCCCTTGTCCTGCGTCTTCACACTGGTAGACTCATGGAAGATCCGCAGGCACTCCTCCAGGGGGTCTGCATCGAAGTCTACCTCCTGCTCCAGGGCCGAGTAGTCCACGTCCTCCCCCGACTCCCCCTGAGCCCCCGGGGGAGAGGAGGACGAGGAGGATGCAGAGGCGGCAGCAGCAGCTGGGGGTGCGGGGCCGAGGGTGGGGGTGGGGGTGGGGGCGGGCGCAGGTGGCACAGAGGACTTGAGTCGCTTGGGCAGCTGTGCTCCAGGCAGGTCCAGGCTGGAGTCCGAGTCCGAGTCCGAGTCCGAGCTGAGGCTGGGGAGGCTGGAGGGCCAGGCCCGCGGGGTCCCCGTCCCTGAGTCTTCGTCCTCGCTCTCGTCCCCGAAGAGCTCGGCATGGCTCAGGGCCCGCTTCTTCAGCTTGGGCGCATCCCGGGAGGCGCCCTCGTCCAGCGAGTGGGCCTTGCGCTCCCCGAGTTTGCCCGAGGCAGCCCTCTCACCGCCCCTCCTGTCCAGCAGCTGCTGGGGGCCCCCGGCAGCCGGGCGGTGGAGCTTCCCCTTCCCTGAGCTGGCCACCGCGGTGGCTGAAGATGGCTTTTTCTTGGTCCCGTTAGGCTTCTCCGCCTTGTGCTGGGGGCTGCCGGCCCGAGCGACCCTCTTATCCGCCCCGGCCTTCTCCTGGGCCTGCCCCCGCTCCCGCCCCTTAGTCTTGTCTCTCCTCCTGGACTTGTCCTTGTGGCTGGGGGTGGGCGGAGTCCCACATTTCTTTTTCTTGGGTCTGTCCTCCTTGGGGCAGCCCGCGTCCTGCAACACCCTGGCCGGGGAGCTGGGCTTGGCTGGGGGCGCCACGTCCGGGTCCTGTGGGGACTGCCCGAGGTCCCCGACGTCATACTGCACGGCTATCTCCTTGGTCTCCCGGAGGCCGCCCTCCTCAGGCTCCGGGCCCTCCCTGGAGGACGGCTTCCCAGGGGCCTTGCTCTGGGAGCCAGCCCCGGCCTTGGGGGCACTAGCTACGACAGGCTTGTCACCACCCGGGGGCACAGCAGTATCATCTTCTGAGTCTGAGAACCTGGCGTCACAGCCACCGAAGGGGTCGCAGGGCTTCTTGACAGCAGGCATGTAGGGCTCGCTGCCACGGGAGCCCCGGGGCCGCTTGGTGGCCCTCTCATCCCTGGAGCTGGCCCTGCTAAGGTGCCGGGCTGAGTAGTTGGACAGTGGGTCATACTCCAGGTCTGTGGATGGCTTGGAGTTGTCCACTACGTACTTGCTGCTGGCCATGGGTCGGCCATACCGCTGAGGCTGGCCCATGGCCTTGGGGACGTACTCCAGAGCGCCCCCCGCCTTGCTCGGGCCCCTCTCCAGGGACTCCAGGGAGTACTTGCTGCCTGATTCCGAAGGGGCCAGGGGGGTGGGCTGGTAGCCGGTCTCAGGGGTGAGCAGGCCGTGGCTTCCGGGGCTGTAGGTGAAGGCCAGGGGGAAGGCACCCTCGTCCAGGCCCAAGGAGGGGCTGGCGGCTGGGCCGCACGGCGCCAGGGCAGAGGTCCCTGTGGCACTGGGCTCGGTGGCTCCATACTCTCGGGCCGTCTCCAAGAGCTCCTGGTAGCGTCGCTGCTCCAGCTCCACCTCGCTGCGCACGGCCTCGATGGCCTGGTTGACCAGCTCCAGCTCCAGGATGTCCGAGTGGGACTCGTCACCTCGAGCCAGCACGCCATTTTCCTGGGGTGCCGGGGGCTTGGGCAGCTCAGGGTCATAAGGGTCATACCCAAGGCCTGTGGGGAGAAAGGAGAGAGGCAGGTAAGTGGCCTCATGGACGGCCAGCCTCGCCTTGGCACCTGCAGGGAAAGCCCTGGCCAGAGCAGATGGCCAGCTCACCAGGCCCTAAGCCTTGGGTGGCAGATGGGCACGGGGCAGGGACATAGGTGTCGGGGCGGGGAGAGGGCCAGGGTCCTGCAGACCTCATGGAGTGGCTCATGGAACTCACGCCATGCATTCAGACAGCCCACGGTGTCTGGGCACAGACTAGGCCAGCACATCTGAGGCGCTGGGGGGAGGCCCTGGGCTAGGCTGATGACTCACCGTGGAGTGGACGTGGGGATAAGACCACCTGCGGATCACGGGGCCCACCTGGCCAGCGGGTGCCTGCACCCAGTGTATGCCACAGGTGGGCCCCCACTCCGAGACTCAAGCAACAGTCCTGCCTCAACTCTTGAGTAGAAGTCTTGTGCTGGGTGCCACAGAGCCCAGCTCACACAAACCTCACTGCCCACAGCAAGCCTGTGGGGAACAGATGCCAAGGACTCCTCTAATGCCCCGCAGGACCCAGCGAGCAAAGTGCACACCCACTGTGTAGGCTAGAACCTGAGATGATTTTTTTTTTTTTTTTTTTTTTTTTTTTTTTGCGGTACTAGGGATCAAACTCATGACCTCGTGCTTGCCAGGCAGGCACTTATGCCACTGAGCTAAATCCCCAGCCTGAGACAACTTATTTTTGCACACAGACTGTACACAAGCCAGGCAGGGTGGCACACAGCTGTCAGCCGGCACTGCAGGCAGGACGAGTTCGAGCTAGAGCCCCGCCTGCTCAGTGCAGTCAGACTCTTCCTCAAAAACTTAAAAAAGAGCTCCTAGCTCAGCGCAGAAGCCCTGGGCTCAATTCACAGCATGAGGGGGAAAAAAAAGGTGAGAAAGAGACTGCCACAGACCAGACAAGAGAAGACAGAACAGCCGGCGGGCTCAAAGCCACACGGAAAGCCACACGAGACACTGTGACCTTCCTGGGCTGTGGGGTAGCAAGGGATGGAAAGGGCTCCAGCAGCAAAGTCGTCCTGGGACCATCGGGGTGACCCGTACCTCTGCCCGTGGATGCATCTGCACACACACCTGCTCCGAGGTGCTCCCCCAGAAACCTACTACAGCCTGCCCAGTACCTCGACGGGCTGCTGGGCCGGAGCACAGAGCACCTGCGCCTTCCTCTGGCTTCCTGGCTGTGTGACGCACTGGGCGAAGAGGGCAGACACTGAAGGGAGGTGTGTCCCTCCCCTTCAGAAAGCATCTCTGTGAACACAGCAGAACTGGTGACCAGGGCAGAGATGCCACCATGCCATGATGGCCTCCTGGACGCTGCATGACAGCACACACAGTCGGGTCTTTCCTTCCTTTCCTGGGCTGCTGGGGTTGGACGTGTGCTGTACCCCAGCCCTCCACTACGCCCTCATTTCCTCTGTATGGGGCACTCAGAAGCATACACCAGGCCAGTGATAGCGGAGCGGGAACAGCCCCGGCCGGCAGCCACAGTAGCACCAGCACCAGGTCCCAAGTAGCTGCCCTACAGCCGCGGCACACACACCCACAGGACACGCATGGCCTGCAACGCAGGCCGGAAGGCGCACATCCTGGGATGCTGATGAGGGTGGCAACATGGCGCTCCTCCACCACAGCCCCTGTGCTGTGTGGGAAGAAGCAGCGGGGTCCCAGGCTGCTCCCCAGCATGTGCCTGTGCAGCCCCTGCCCTGCTGCCTGGAGCCGGTGGCCAAGTCACCTCGTGTGGTAACAAAATGCTGCAGAAGGGGGTCCCCCTGACAACCCGGGACCTAGTGTTCCCCATAGTCTCCCTGAGAGAAGCCGACGGAGGGTACAGATGCGACTCTGCCAGCTACGTGAACGGAGGAAGGCGCCTCGGGTCTCGGCTGCGCACACGGCTCTAGGGGCCGGGGCAGGAACCCAGGCTCTCCAGGAGCCCTGGGAGGAGCAGCACCGCCACCCTCCAGACTGCAATGAGTATCTGCAGGTTCAAGCAAACAGCTGCAGGAGCTGAGGCAACTTCACTGGGCACAGAAGGTACAGAGCAGGGCTGGGCTGCAGCCATGCACCTCGAGGGCACCTGTAAGTGCGAGGTCATGAGTTTAAGCCCAGTCCCCCGCTCCAAATCTGTATTTAATTTTGCTATTTATTTCTGAGGCAAGGTCTCACCATGTAGTTCAGGCTGGTCTTTACGTCACTATATAGCCCAGGCTGGTCTCGAACTCACAGCAGGCCTGTTGCCTCGGCCTCCTGGGTGCTGGGGGCGCCTGCCCAAAAGCCGTACACAGAAAGCAGAAAGGAGTCCTCTACCTGAGCTCACCAGAGCTGTGAGATACAGGGAAGAGGAGGAGACAGCCAACAAGCGTGCCAGCGCCATCTGGGGGCCTGTGTGGGCACTGCATCGCCATCTATACATGGGGTGGGAGGGGGGTGGGGCGGGGTGTGGGAGTACCGGGCAGCCCTGTCCACTCACTGCGGAAGGCTTGAGGGCTAGGGTAGGAGCCCAGCGGCCCTGCTCCTCCTGGTGTGCAGGCAAGGTGCGGACAGGTAGGGAGGGACAGCCCTCTGGCAAGGGCCACCTGAGGACTCAAGAGGGACACTCAAAAAAAAAAAAAAAAAAGAAGAGGGACACTCACTGGGCACATGCTGGGGGGCTGGTGCGCCCCAGGCTCTGGTAGCCTCCTGGGGACAGGGCCAGCAGGAGGAAGGCCCACCTTCCTCCCCAAGATGGGTGGTTCCATGTGAACCAGGTGCTCCAGGAGTGGGCCAAGGCGTGGAGCCCTGACCTCTGCTTTTGAGCCCAGCCCTCAAGGCCAAGCACACATGGGGCCAAGCACGACAACTACGGGGGCGTCAGAGCCACCCTAGAGTCACCCCCAGAGCACAGAGGGGGGGTCCAGTGTTTTGGGTTTTGCAAGATGCCGCTGTCTGGGTTAGGACAGAGAGGGCCCCCAAAACCCAACGCCCACCTGGAAAGGGGTTTTGTGGAGGAAGGTGTCTGCTGCTCTATAGGGCCGTGGACAGGGCGCAGAAGGGGCCTGCTCTGTAGAAAGCCAGGGTGGTTGAACCAGCTCTGGTCCCCAACTGGAGGGGTGGCCAGGCAGCACTCCCAGGGGAACTCAACCAGCAGGAAGGGTGGGGACACCTGGGGTTCGGAGCACAGTCAGCCCCTGCCTGAGCGCTAGAAGAACACAGGACATGGTCAGGAGGTCGGGCACCGGAGATGTTCAGCTGCGATCCGCGTGAGCCGCTGTCAGCTCCTGGGAGCCCCGGCCTACAGATCTACAGGTTGAGCACACAGGTGTCATCGGCCCTGGCTGTGCCTCCTGTAGCTCTGAGCCAGACACACAGGTGACCTGAGGCTTGGGGCTCAAAAGTGGAAAGTGTCAGCTCAGGCCACTCCTCGAGTCCCTCTCACCTGGCTGCCTGGCCCCAGCCCACCTTGCCTCAGGGGTCTGAGTCCACTGGGGGCCCATCAAGGATGGAGGCACCCAAGGAAATGTCCTTCATGTCCCTACATTTGCTGCCCTAGAGGGCTCAGCCTCCCCTTGGGGAGGGGTACATCAAAAGGATCTGGAGTTGGGGTGTGACTCAGTGGGAAGCGCCTGCTCAGCCTCCCCGAGAAAGAAAGCATACACACACAAATACATTCATTCAATAAAAAAGCAGCACCTCGAGGTGGGAAGGGAGGGGCCTTTCAACCACTGGAGAATTAGTCTGGATGGAACAGAGCCAACTGGGGTTCCCTCAGGGACCTGGACCAGGTACACGTGTTTGGTAAAACAGATTAAGTGCCTGTTTTTGAGAAAAAGAACTCACAGCTGGAGGTGGTACTGACTGCCTGTGGACTGCAGCTACTGGAAGGCTGAAGCAGGAGGACCCCAAATTGGAACCCAGCCTGGGAACTTAAGTGACTCAGCAAGACCCTGTCTCAAAACTTTTTAAAATTATTTTGAGACAGAATCTCATTATTTAGTACAGGCTGGCCTAAGCTCATGATGATCCTCCTGGGTGCTGGGGATGGCAGGAATGTGCCCACACCTGACTCTCAAATTTAAAAAAAGTTTAAAAGAGGCTGGAGATGCAACTGAGAGGCACAGTGCCTGCCTGGCACACACAAAACTCCAGCACCACAAAAGCAAAAACAAAACAAAACCAAGAAGAAGCAATGGGATTGCACACACATCCTCTGCTGGCCAGAAGTCCCCAAAGCCTGTGTTCCATGAACAGCAGCCTTGATCTCTGCCTCTTCCAAGACGAAAGGAGAGGGCACTGCCCAACCCCAGCAATCTCCAGGAGGCCACACCACCTGCCTGGCAGCGCTCTGAGAGACGTTCCTTGGGGCCTCTTCCCAAGTGTCCCCACGATGAGGTGCCAAGGTAGCTGCAGGCCCAGCCTGCCCTGCGTGGCCAGGAGAAACAAGCTCCCACCGTGGGTCTCCAGCTGCCTGGCCGGCTCTCTGCGAGACCCAGCGCAGTCCAGGCCCGAGGTGCGGAGAACAGAGCCTATGAACACTGGCTACCTGTGAAGAGGTTCTGCTTCCCCCGGGAGCCCTGGCACCCCAACCCTTCCTTCCTTCTAGCACCTGCACCTCCTCTCCGCCCTCCTACTGCACCGCCCACTCCTGCCCGGCTGGACTCAGCACCCAGGGAAGAGAAGCCGCCTGGTGCCAGTTCTCACGCAGATGGAGTGAGTGCCTGGCCTGTGTCCCAGAAGGCCTGACGGGCTCCACCAGCAGCAGGCCCCAGGGCTCTCCACAATACCTCCCAGCCCTGACCTGCACCCCAACTGCTTGTGTTCCTAGCCTCTTCTCAAGGTCCAGACTGAGAAAGCCCTCCCAGCCCAGGTGACAGGCACAAGGACGGTCACAGGGATGGAAGGGCCAGGTGTGACGGTGCATGTCTGCAATCGCAGCGCTCCAGGAGCTGAGGCAGGAGGGTCACCATAAATTCAAGGAAAGCCTGGGCTA